CGCGATTAACAAAAGTCTTCACGAAAATGTTCCGTCTCCCTCCTGCCCCCCCCCGTCTATCCCTGGACGTCGATCGTGTGTCTCTTCCCTTAAGAGGACTGGAGGGTCAGATTACTGAAAAATCGTGCTTGTTTTTGATAATGATTTTGTGACGAACTGAATAAATGTTCAAGAATGAAAATTTTACATATATTTATATAACATATGAAGAGTAGAAAAATTTTGTTTTTAAACAAATACTCATATAAATATACGTCCACTTAAATTTTAAACGCGTTTTTCTCGAAATTTTATTGTTCAACTTTTTGCAGTGATTTCTCCGCAACTGAACTTCGTGTCGATTTGAAATTTTAAAGCAATAATATTTGTTCATGTGGCTCTCAGGTGAACCATGGACAACTCCGTCAAAATATTTCATTTCGAGATTTTTTTCGATAATTTTTTTATCGTAAAGGAACTGAAAAATTTGAATTTCTTTCTAATAATAGCTGCCATTTTGTTAATTTTATTCGATTTTTTTTCTAGTGGTTCACCGAATAATGATAACCCTCTTCAAGATTTCTAGCTAAAATTCGCTCTGATCGGACCATCGAAAGCCGAGATATTACTGCAAAAACGATAACTTGAGAAAAAAAAGGAGAGTATATTTCAGCTATATATATCGTATATTTATACGAATATTTGTTAATAAACAAAATTTTTCTACTCTTCATATGTTGTATAACTATACTTAAAATTTTCATTCTTGCACATTTATTCAATTCGTCACAAAATATTATCAAAAACAAGCACGATTTTTCAGCAATCTGACTCTCCAGTCCCCGGAACTCGTAAAGAACGAAAAGTCTCATTGACGAATATGCAATTCAATATTCAGTGTTAATTTCAATATTATTCAAAAGAATTCAATATTCATTATTAATATTCAATATTAATATCAAGCTGAATATTTTCGTCAATGAAACTTCGCTCTTCACGAGTTCACGTGCAAGGCGGAAGACACATAATCGATGCCGCTTGGCCTCCGTTTAATGCTGTCGATCGAACTAGCGAATGATATTCCTGCTATCGCGGTGCGAAGAAAGAACTTACGCAGAGATTATGCGAACATTGTACGAACGTATGGTGTTCAGCACGAGAATAAAACAGTAAAAGAGAGAGAGAGAGAGAGAGAGAGAGAGAGAGAGAGAGATAAAGAGAGAGAGAGAGAGAGAGAGAGACGCATTCCTCCGCGGATGACTCATCCGGAGTGATGATCAGCCGAAAGACCGACTCCCGCGAATTCGCCTTGGCGCGAGTGCGTCGAACGGGGCGCCGAAAATCACGGTGCAGATGCATGCGTGAGTGCACGCACGCACTCGGGGGCGACCGGGGGAGAGCGCGGAACCGCGCGCGCGTCAGTGTGCACCCCCCGAATTAACGTGTTCTCCTCTCGCACTCTCTAGCGTCACTCGAGACGGCGCGCGTTCGCCGTCACGCGGAACGTGCCGAAGAGACGCGCGAAGGAAACGGTTTGGAACTGGTTCACCGAAGTCGGCCGTTCCCGACCGCGCGCGACGAACAATACGAACTTCTGTAGGGGGGAAGGACGAGCGAGCGAGGGAGGAAGCGGAGGAGTGGGAGGGGGAGAAGGAGAGAGAGAGAGAAAGAGAGAGAGACGACGGCCAAGTCGCGCGGTGCGCGTGAAAGGCGATTTAAAGGGAAAAAGGAGGTGGTGGTCGAGAAAAAAGGAAGGCGCGCGGCGGCAGTAAATGAAAGACGAAGAGAGCAAGAGCGGTAGGTGGGCGAGGAGGGAGGAAGGAGCGAAGAAGAGGAGGAGGAGAAGAAGGAGGAGGAGGACGAGGAGGAGGAGGAGAAGGAGGAGGAAGGAGCATGGCGAACCGGTCGCAGCCTCCGCTCGTCAGCTGGAAGCTCAGCTGCAACCGGGCGCGGTGACCTCGACGGTGCAGCGCGCGCGGCGCTTCACGGAAAAGCGAGTCGATTTGCGAGCGATAACGGTGCCACGACACAGCGGAGTCGTCCTCGTTGCCGTTTACCCGCGCGTAATCCTTCTCCCTCGGCCGCTTCCGCCGAGGACTTTCCAGCGAGGGGTTTTCGCGACGCCGCGCCGACGAGCGCTCTCTCGCACGTCGGATAATAACGTGTGTTTACAGCGCGCGATTGTTGAACGATCGTGTCGAGCGAGCGCGCGAGATCAGCTGGCAGGAGAGAAATCGTGCGCCCTGCCGTCGCGGTGCATTCGTATCGTACTTACGTTTGCAGCGCGCGCTGGAAATGTAACGCGCGCGCGTCGTGGCGCGGCAGTGCGCGAAAGAATCGCGCGATGACTTGTACGAGCGATTACAGTTCGACGCGACTTTCTAATCGACGACGTAGCTTCGGAGCGGTGCGAGGCTCGAATTAAAAGTGTATTAAGTAAAAGTTGGCCGAAAGTAAGCGGAGAACATGATTTCATTATCTCGAGTAGCGTGACTCGCAAACTCTGAATTGCTAATTGCTCGGCCCTAAATTATCGGCCCTTGGGTGTAGGCCCGTCCTCGCCGAGAGGACGAATGAATTTCGGATTAATGGAAGAAAAAAAAAAAGGAACAAGAAAAACCGCCGTTGAACGTTCGTGCGGCGTATCTCTCTGTAATTAACTCGCATACACGCGAAATCATCGACAAAATTACACGCCGCGTAACTCGCTTCGTCGCGAGATTAGATCGCCTACTTTTTGCTGCCCCCCTCCCCACCCTCCCCCTCTTGGCGGAGATGTAATTTGCTCGTATAGTTTGTATCCGTTATGTTCGTCGTATAAACGGTTTCAGCGCACAAAAGTCCTTTAATGAATGAAACATCGCGCGAAGAGCGCGTGTGGATTAAACTTCGTAATAAGGGTTACGAAATTAAATTCGCGCGAGACATATATTACTGTCGCCGTCGATGTCCCTCAAGAGTAACATAAAGACGAGCTACGTCAAGATGAATAATACCGCATGGGATTACTTTCGGCCCGGATCCTTCGAGTTATCTTTTTTTCCGCCTGTTTTCATAGGTTCTCATAATGAGATCTCACGGTTACACACACCACGAGATCCGCCAAGTAGATCCGCGATGAATAATGCATATACTTCAATTTTACAAAATCCGCAAGTAAAAAGTGTTTCACATAAATCTTAAACAACGGGTTCACCCGGTATACCTGACACAGTGAATAACAATGCATATACAGCACATATATCGCTCGAGAGATTTTACGTTTCGACGATATTATATATTCGTCTCGAAAATAAGTTGACGACTGATATTTAGTCGTTTAATTCTTTCCTTTCACATCATTCGAAAAGAAACCGCGATATTATTATCTGCGTTTTCTCGATTCAAATATACATGCGCGAAGCAAAGCAGTTTATTCGCAACACGGTACACGAAATATGAGAGGCGAATTCCCTGCCGAAATAATTAGCCCGTTCTAGGAGATCCCATTCGGTCGCTACGCAAAGTGACGTCGACAGTGCGCGTCGTCGATGTACGCCTCTACGTCCGGGGTCAGCAACGAGGGAGTCGACGCTGCGCGTCGCGATGCCGCGAGAGAGTCTCTCTCTCTCTCTCTCTCTCTCTCTCCCTCTCTCTCTCTCTCTCTCTCACGAGGTGAAACCGACGGTGCGCAAAGTGTCACGTACGCATACGAGAGAGGACGCGAGAATTCGCTTCTGCCGTTGACAGGGCTATAAAAGATGCATCCGCAGGAACTCAGAGCGGCGGATCTGATTTTTTGGTCAGCCGCTCGGAACGGTGAAAACACGATGACAAGCCGTCGTCTTGAAATCCCTACGAAACTCACGCGTTTCGAACAAATCGGAGCAAAAACAGTAAATTCGGGCGAGTTCAAGGAAGCTAGTCGATCCCGGGCGATCAACACGGCGTAAAATCTAGGACGCGTTTTTCAGCGAATATTCATATCGGCAATCATGATAATCGCGCAAGTAACATTTAAATAACTAACAATCAGCGATGACGACAACAGAGTCGTCCTCCGGCGCACGCGATCTCAAATGTCACGGAATAAATTTTGAATTCTATACGTGTCGTACACGGGAGAGAGAGAGAGAGAGAGAGAGAGAGAGAGAGAGAGAGAGGAGAGAGAGAGGGAGGGGGAGGGGGAGGGAGAGGGAGAGAGAGAGAGAGAGAGAGAGAGAGAGAGCAGCAAAATTTCCGCACCAACCGTTTCGAGAACAAAGGAGCAACGTAGCCATAAAGAACAAAAGACAAAATGACACATTCACGATAGTTTCGAACAGGACGGCTACACCTGGGACAAACAGCGGCGCGGAGTGTTGTGTCGGGCAGCTCTCGCGGGGTGAAACTCGCGTTTGTGCGAGTCGATTCGAGTCAGAAAGTGCGACAAAGAAAGCGTTCGATTCCGGCGACCTCGCTTTTAGCGCTAACCTCGCTTAACCGTACGCCTCTGCCCCTCACAGCGAATTGCATTTGCGCCTCCGACAACGAGCGCAGAACCGACAGGCTCGATTAGCGCTAATCAAGCGGCCTTTGACGAGAGAAACGTCCCCTTCCCGTAGAAACGAAACCTAGCCACGTATTATCCCCGCGAGGATCAATCTCGAGGCGATCTCGGCATTAATTACTCGAGATTGTCACTGTCAGCGGCGAAGCGCGCGCGAGCGATCGCGAACAAACGCTGCGCCGCATCGCCGTAGGAATCGACTTGGACGGCAGCAAACCGGTCGATCGGTGCATCAGCTGAGAGCCCAGCTGAACCCAGAGAGCGGCCGCCGTAATAACCTCAACCTGCCTGCCTCCCTCCCTCCCTCCCAGCCCCTCTCGCCATCTCTGTCCTGTTCTCTTTCTCACTCTGTCTCTCTCGCTCGCTCGCTCGCTCGCTCGCTCGCGCGCGCGCTCGCTCGCTCACTCACTCACTCACTCACTCAGTCACTCGCGGCGAATTTCGCGAAAGCAAATGTCGACCGGTGGCCGACAACTGACTCTGTTCACGGTACCTGGTGTGTCCGGTGACGACGTCTCGGCGACGGTGTCCGCGGAAACTCGTCGACAGCTCCGAAACTTTTTGAAAGCCCACTCGCAATGGAATCTTCCAGTAGACTGGCGAGCCGGCGACAGCGGCGACGAGCCGTTCTCCCTTGCGTGCGCACCCACCGTGCGGCCGCGGCTCTTTTTCGCGTTGAATCGCGCGCGAAACGATCGCCCGGTACGGACGGGACGCAGCCGAAGGACCTGCCGGACGGAAACGTCGCGCTATTCGACACCGGCCGGCCGCGGTACGTCTGTTCGCAACAGAAACGCAACGAGACGCCCGCGGTTACCGCCGCTGACAGTTCACGAGCTGTCACTCCGCGGCGGACTGTCTCGCGCGCGTCGCTGCCGCCATCTGCTGCGTCCGGCGGGAAACCCAGCTGGCTTCGAAACGGTCACCGTTCCGCTGGCGGTGGCGGCGGCGGCGGCGGCGGCGCGGCGGACCACCTAGCAACAAGATCAATAGCCTAACTTATCGCGCACCAAGCGGTACCTTGGTACCCGCATAGCGAAGCGTTATATCCCTTTTGTTATCAAGGATCGAGACTGCCGTTCTATATCGTTGTGTAGTGGAATTTCGATGTTGCTGATACATGCGAAAATAACCACCGACGCTGACGTAATGCTGATTCGTTGGACGTGACGATCGACGCCTCGCGACAATTTACGCGACATCGCGACATGGAAATGATATATTATAAAACTATAGACCATATCAATGCATTATAGACTAATCGTGCGGATATTTATAGCGGATGGTCGAAACAGTCGGTAATGTATGTGCTCTCCGATTATCGTCAGGTTCCTGGGGCCTCATGGGTAACGGCCAAACTTTACTGGTCATTTTAATGGCCGACAATCTAGTAGAATCTTGTCGGCGTCGATCAGCCGATTCGATCTAGTCGAGGTTTGATGCGATATTTATGTATTAATACGGACAAAGACTTACTGAAGCATGAAGACGCCGAGTGTCGAAGCATTGGTTTCGTCGAGAGACGAACGTATTTGCTCCGCCGTTTCACTGGTCTGACTCCATGTTTCCAATGCGACACGCGACAAACACCAGTTATGAGTATCGTCGTCTGACGAGTTTAATCGCACTCTCGCAGACCCATTAACAGGCTAAAACGTTCACCTGTCACTGAATTCAGCACTTCTGATATTCGTTGGCACGCGACATTCACTTTGACGGGTAAAAAGATACCGCGAACACGGAGCGGTTACAATCGCGTTCGAACCCGCGCGTAACGACGCGAACTGCCGCGGATTGACGTGTCACGTGATATCCCGTATTTCAAGCCAGGCGGATTTTTGAACGAGCGCTTCTGTAATTTTCATGTTAATAAAAGCAAATGACATTTATCGCATCAAATTCTACTCGCACAACTGTTATTATCTTATTATTAGGGATATTATAATATGTAAATATATCCCATCACTGAAATGACAAATTTAAATTTGATAATATTAAATACGTAAAAATATCACAAAGATTTCAAGTTGAGATATTATCCATTTTTTAGAGATTTGTCAAACGTATTATTGTTGGCTTTTAAGTACAAGCAGAAATCATTTGTTATGATATTTGAGTCTTACACGTAATTGATAAAGTGTCAATTGGTTCTTTCAAAAGTTCTATGTGCTAAATATATAAATGTATAAACAAAACTCTCTATTAAAATGATTCATTATTTTACTAGTCTTTTATTATAACAACTTGGCTTTTCCTCTCGTATAAAAAAGGACGTCCCCGACGTTTACAAGACGCAACAACCTCTTACTTTGTAAATGCATATGTACTCATATATTGAAATTTTATTTAATAAATAAATATTTAATAAATAAATATTTCAATATTTGTATTTTACTCTCCCTCTTTAATCCATTTTACAACTCCCCTCGCGTTTAACGAAACATATATCTATTTTTTTAAACAGTACACGCACACACGTTTTCCATTTGTCAGTTCAATCGATATCTTTTTGACGTTTCACATTATCACAAAGCCAATGTAAACACATCCTGATGTATGTTTATGATGTTTAAACTCATTTTTGTTAAAACTCGTGCAATGAATTGCAGTACAGATGTACAACGCACATGTATCAATAGTATTGAGAGGAATTAACGATTAACTATGACGTTATTGGTTATTGAATAAAATCTGTCACGGAATATTTCTATGACGACTTGCATGGTGCGCCACGGTAGGCCAAGGACTGCGTCAAAAAGAACCTCCTAGTGTATTCATTGTTATTGTAGCCGCATCTTAAGCCTTTGCGCGATAGCGGCCACGAGCGCAGCGCCTTTGCCGCTCCCATCTTCTGCGTGAATTAATTTGAACTGCGTATTTAAAATAAATATATTATTGTACTAGAAAGAGGGACATATACGCATAATATTTATACATATATGCATAATATTTATACCGATGATAAAAAGCATTATGGATGTAGAGTAAAAGAAATACAAAAGCCACAGTAAAATATAACTCTGCTTCTTAATTACACAAGAAAAAAATGCATTCAAGATCCTTCGAAGAACATAAACTTTACGGAGCATTGGATATGGATCTTATTCTTCGAATTTCTTTACCTAAACAACATACTTTAAAGGAGCAACAGCGACTTGCGATCCAACTGACGTTTATTTTACACACCTTTCGTCCAGAAGAAGTGAGAAGCGGAATATATCGTTTCATCCAGCCCTCTAACCGAGGATGATGCTTATAGAGAGATCCGTCCACAGCGATCGTTACCTGTTCCTTGTCGATACGATCCAACAGAGCCGCGAGACCTGCGACACAAATTATCGATATGATTAAAATGAGCGCTCTTGCTTCGAATACCTCGCGCCTGAGTACTTTATTAACGTACATATCGATACTAGAAGAGCCGCGCGGTTGGAAGCGACCTCACACACGTATTGGACGATTCTGATATCGTCCTCGTCCGGAACAATGCCAAATTTATTGAGAACTTTCTTCGTGTTGCAGTCATCACCGTCCACTGAATCCCTGGACAGAGCGACAGTACGAAATTGAACTTTTTATACGTGCGAATTTTCGGCGAATAAGGCGAATTTTAGATGGATAGACTTACTGCTCGATGTGCGACACCAGATCGGTGGTAAGATTTCCAGGCGTTAGCAGACTATGTGGCGTATTTTCTCCTACAAACAAAAGCCCCTCTTTGGTCAACCTCGCAAGTATCACACGCACCACCTCACCGAGATATTTGCCAGCAATGTACTTTTCAAATCTAAGGAAAGAAGTCAGTGATATACAAGAGGGATCCTTTTAGATACAGACCGTTGCGTCCTAGGAGCTAACTGCGTCGCTAGGATTCGCCTGGACATTTTTCTAAAGTTTTTGGATTATAAATCACACATTACTCAATGAAGAAAAGTTTAATTTGATTTAATCGTTCCTCGTATCTGTTTCGTTTTATAAAAACGATTAGTCTGCTACTTAACATCTTCAATTTTATCGCATGTCAATAAATCGAAATAAAAAGACGAATTAATTAAAGCATATTATTATCAAAAACGGTTTCTTATCATGAACAAGTGGACAATAAGCACGACATAATTGCGAACAATCTGATGATGACAGATAACGTACGATAAGTTTGTTCACTTACGTGAATGAATTCACGATAAGAGAATTGGCGTCGTTCTCACGATCGAAATCCGTCTTGATGAAGTCCAAGACACCATTGTCGCCGAAGGCGCCCCATTCGATGTCGATAATAACCTCGAGCGAAAAATTCATCAGACGGCTGATTCGCCAGTGCTTTTTATACTCACAATAGCCAATATACGTTTATACATATCACAACTGGTGCATCTCGGTAACTTACTTCTCTCTCGCCGTGTCTCTTGGTTTCCCAGTGCTTGACTCGGTCTGCCTGTTCCAAGTAGCAGGCGTTGCTGCCGGTCCCGAGTATAAGTCCGATAGTTGTTTCATGGTCTAACGTCGAGGCCTGCACCAGAGTGCCTGTAGTGTCGTTCAACACCGCGACGACCTTCACCTTCGTGTCGCCTCGTCGATCCAGCGCCTCCCGCAGGAGCCTCACGACGTCCTTGTTGACAGCGTCGGGACAATTAAAACTCTTAGTCCATGTCACCAAAACACCGACATCCAAGGAGTGTTGGATCATCGGGAACGAGAATGTGAAACCTGCGGTGCGAGAAACGCAGATCATCAAGGTTGCAGGTGAAAGTGGAAATCGCAGAAATTATTAGACACACATCGCATAGATAATTATAAAGACAAAGCTGATTATTCGTAAGATGATTATCTTCTTTTACAATTCTTTTCTTTTCTACGAACAAAAGTGTTCGCCATTTATAGGTAATCAGGCGCGCGCGCGCGATAACATGTGTTAATTAAAAGTTCCGCGAGACGCTCGATATTCCTCGATGCGCCGTAGAAACGGAGTTTAATTTACCGAGAGGAAGCTCTGTGTCCTGAAGCCCTTGGGCGGTGACGAAATCGCTGACGCACTCGGCCAGATAGTCAAACAGAGGAATGGCCGGGCCGACTTTCAACTCGGATCTGATGGAATACCGCTTTACTTCTTGTCGAATGGGAGCGCCCTGAGCCAATTCCAACAGGAGCACCCGGAAGTTGGTGCCACCGAGGTCGAGCGCCAAATAGAGTCCTTCCTCTACGAATGTTCGAGTAATAATTAATGATTCAACTAATCAAGGACCATAAAATCGTTGATATCACGATACATTTTTCGATCGCGCGCATCTCGTCGTCGTCAAAATAAGATGTCGATCGATTCGACGCAAGGATCAGAGCAGCAGGTCAGAACGATCGACGTCAGAGCGCGCGCGCGCGCGCGAAAGAGAGAGAGAGAGAGAAAGAGAGAGAGAGAGAGAGCGACGCTATCATTATGGGATTAAGAACAGAAACTGCAGTAATCACCTGTCCCATTGATCAGTTCCGGCACATAAGTATTTTCCATTTGCAACGAGGACGGCTGCTGGTGAATTCCCTTGGTCATTTCCGAAATGAAGACGTCCCGTATCCTCCTGGTCGTCGCCGCGGAAAACCGCATCTTTTCCATATGATTTTCGATCTGCAAGCAGAGAGGTTCCTTCTCGTTAGACGTCACATCGATGTAATCTTTACGGCACACTCGTCATCCCGGAAAAACTTGCCGCAATCCATAAATCTTGCTGGCACCTCGGCAAACACATCAAAGAAGCTTCGAACGTGCTGTTGTATACAATCGCCGAGTATTGCGCAGTTTCTAATAGGATTCTAACCAGGTAGACTGGCAGAAAAACTCACGCTGCTCACGCTCGAGTGCAGGATACAACGAGATACATACCGGATTAATTACACTCAGCGTAACAGGCGGGATTAACACGTGCGCAATATCGATTCGTTTTAATTCATTCGTGTGTTTGCTGAAATTTATAATGTAAATCTAACGACGAAATTTGCGACAAGCGACTCTTGCCACTCGTCGACTTTGGCCGACTTTAACGCCGGAGATTTAAAATGTTTTAGGTAAAATCGAGAAAATGATTCATGCTCATAAATATATGGGAAAAAATGATAACGTGAACCTCTCTCTTTTTATCTTTCCACACAGACCGGACGATCCATCAGTTTTCTGCTTCTTCGATAGTTTGAGAACGGAGTCGCGTTATCTACAGCGATAAACTGTTCACATGCCTTGACCTTTTAACACGTTGACTGCCGCGCGTGTTTGCAACGAAATTTCCGTCAGGCTACGCGCGCCGCTGTACGAAACGTGCGCTGCTGTCTCATTTTTGTTCATTTGTTTCTATCGATACATTCCTAAAGTCCTCACTTGTCACCTCGCTACTCTGCATGAACAGTTCGAATCTTTGCCGAGTACCGAGTGGTATAACTTAAAATCTCTGCCCTAATTCGCTTCAATATTGAGAAGAAAAATAGAAAAGTTAGTTCTTAGTGAGTCATATAGCAGTGAGGAAGAAACCTGTTACGATATTCACACAAATTCGGATAGCAGCGATGAGGAAGAGATCAGATTGCCCAGAAAGAGAAATATAAATATAAATATAAACATAAATAATATAAATAAATATAAAAATATAAATATAAATATAAATATAAATATAAAGGGTGCGTTTACCAGCAAATTTTCAAGTCCCGTTTACTTTAGATTCGTACAATTGCCGTCGAAAAAAATCAAACACTAATATCAACACGTATTATTCAGAAATTGTCATGTTTACTACCGAATCACTCGCGTAATCCAACGCCCGAGATAATATCCATCGAAAAACGAACTCATAATCTCCCTGTCAGGTTGCGCAAATGTTACATAATGACGTTTTGCAATTTGCAGATATCGGCGATGAGACGTGGAGGTTTCTTCAATCTCGAAAAGCTGCTTCGCGGTGCGAAAATGCTTTATTACGCGATATGTGGGCACACGTGACAGTGTGATTAGAATAATCGAATCATGAGTAAGTAATTACGCATGATCGTCTCGTGTCACTAAACTCTCGACTAGAATGTTCCAAGGTTAAGGACTTCATTCGCTCTACCACTTGTGTGTGATTCAGAATATCGATTGCAATGGTATGCAATAATTGAACGGTCGTTTCGTTTCTTTTCAGAATTGCATGCCATAGAAAAAACTCGCGAGTTCATTAAACTTTTATCGTTGCGAAGCAGAAAGCATAGCCAAGTGAGCCAGAGGAGGCTCACATTGCGTTATGTAATTTATTTATAAATACTTTGTATATTGAAGAAAATTATAACTTGTAAATGGTTCCGTATTTTTTTCTTTTTCTGCGTCAAAAATTAAATGCGTCGCGTAATTTGCCGCATTCAGAATGTTTCCATTGCACGATTACGATATAATGTCAACTTTCAAATTTATATTATATCGTACGTTGTATAAAAGGGCAAAGGTCACAAAATGAACGATTTATAAAATCAAGTGTGTAGCAGATAAAATGGACATGATAAAATCGCAGATAAAATTGTATAATTTATAATGCAAATGTTACGATTATGGGTGAAGTATCAGCTACGGAATTTAAACAAGCGTTACTCACTTTTTGTCGTCTTACATCGTCGGAAAGTATAAGTGGCGCAACTTGAATTGCTTCATGCAGTTCATGGTCCGTGGGCACGACCATGTCAGGAGATTTTGAAGATCTGAAAAGAGACGGAAAGTCAGAAAGAGTTCTTGAGAAAGAAGTATATTCTATCTAAAATATATTTTATCTCGATACGACTCGAATTCGACATCATTATGCGTCAAATTGAATTTCGTCATTTACTTTAGTCTCACTCTCTCCTCTTCTCTATTCGTTCTATTGTAGTCACTTGTGCAATTTTATTAAAGCTACAGTTGTAAGAAACATAAGCTCATGTCACAAAAAGCACGATATTATTACTTGTTGGATACTTTCTTATTTTACCGACTTCCTTACCGATCTTCCTTCTTATTTCTCTTTACCGACGTTAAATCTTCCTTCTTATTTCTCTTTAAAGAAAAAATAACAGACACAGCAATATTTGTCATATAAGTCCTCAATTTTTTGACATCTGTGAAATACATGTGATGCTCCCATTCAATTCAAATTAATAAGATTATTCGGCGTGCGATAATTATGTTCATTTTCTCTACTTGGGAATTAGATATGAATGACAACCGGAAAAAGCCCGCATTTTCTGATAACATAGTTCTCGTAAATTACGCGATATGTCACATTTCTGCGTGTCACATTCTCGACAAACGGAGAATTAAAGAAATGGACTACGCGTTGCATAATTACGTAAAAAAGTGACGTTGGCTGACATTCTGTGTGTCTAAACTCGGTGTGTGTGTGTGTGTGTGTGTGTATCGTGAGATTTTTAATAAAAATTATAAATTATAAAGAGAAAGGGAGTATGAAATATATGCATTTGCATGATAAGATGGTGATAACAGTTACAAGAAAAAAGAACATCAGAGAGTTAAAATAAAATGAAAGGGAGCGCAAACAAGAAAAATAAAAACGAATGAAAAATATCAAAGATATGCCAGTCGGTGATATCTTTATACCGCTGCCCCTTACTTTTTAAGATTTATGTTAGCTTTTTACGTGTCTCGAACAGTCATAAAGAATCGCGAAGGCAAAACAGAATCAACGTCAGAATACACGGTTTCACCGTTAGAATAATTCAAGTTTTAGCTGGCTGATCGATAACGATTTTAATGGGACTTGATTAATCATTCGAATGGATGCTAATTCAGTCGCGGACGATCGATCGATCGAATATAACATCGTCGTTACTGGCGCTATGTTGCTTGTCTATGTTGTACAACATATTACAACGGCTTTATCGCTAATCATTTACATGCCTATGTAACAGTGAGACCATGAAAGTCGAACCAGTCGAGCTTGATTGTCTGGTTGAAATATGCCGCCTCTCGCGTATACACACGCTATCATTACGTATAATTTTTTTCATTCCCATACTTGTCTCGCGCGCAGTTCCTCCAGTCTTATTTTCAAGGTGATCCGGAGAAATTTTGCTTTCACCATCTAGTTCTCAACCGGACTATATCATGACTTAGTCTCGAATGCATCATGTTCTCTCGTTTAAATGTATCGCAACACTGCAATCAAACGCGTGAATTTTAATCAACTGGTCGTCTCAACAGAACGAATAGATCGATTTTATCTGATGCAAGAATCTGGCATGAAGAATGCAGATCGCCTTATCTGAAACCAATTATTTATGTATCGTGAACATTATAAAGTCTAGAAATTAGAATAAGCGCGAATGTATGCGTATGCTCGGTAACCGGCGAGTTCGATGAACAGTCCCCGACCTCCCGTACCGGAAATTAAAGAGACTTTTCCTCGACGAGGCACGATTAGACCGTGCTTTTTCTCTTCCGCGGTTTTTCAAGATCCTGCACGCGGCAAGAAACGAGCCCTAAATCACGACGTGCGCGTCAGGTGGACTGATGAAACTGCGAAACTGCGAAAAGAGACCAGAACGTTCCTCCTTCCCGAGCTGCAAGCCGGCAAATGAGGCTCCATTGAAATCAATTGGAAGGTGCAAAACGTCAACCGAGATAATTGAGCCAGTTGACCCGCCGTGACGATTCTAATCCAGAGTGCAACACGCACAGTTGTCACTTCCTCGGTTCGTCGGGCGCAAGTACTTCACAAGCGTCTTCCTCCGTGACGGATAGAGATCCTCCGGCTGGCACGCAACACGACGCCGTGTCTCCTGCCGTCTCATTGGCCATCCATCCTTCATTTATCACACTCTGCACCCATCGGCGCATCAGCGATTAATGAATCTGACGTAAGCATAACGCTGTCTGCGCTGCGCAGCGCCGCGGGATTGATGGGGCCGCGAGGATCCCGAACGATTCAGCGGACAGCTTTATTGACATTAAATGGCACGCGAGGCATTTTATGGCCTAATACGGAGCCTCTCTCTTATTCAAATCGGAATTAAATGCGGAAATGGAACAAAAAGGCGCGGCGTATGATTTATTTCCGTTAGGATAACGCTACGTATACTTGAGCTAGCCCGGTCCTACTTTTAGTCTTTTAGAGCAATAAGACATTTTCTTTTTTCCAGAGACGCACTCTCCAGTTATCTAATCGAGCGCTCTTCATGAAAGAGTACAGCTCATAAATAATCTGCCCGTCGTTTATATAATAAAACTTCCGTAATTCATGACTATTATCAGCGAGGACACGGAATAAATCCCGGTGAGATCGAGATACGTGGGAGTCGGGAGACACGTTCAAGTTCGGATGTCGAGTTTTGAGGTGAACCGACTCATAACGCTCGAGAGATTCAAGAATGAATCAATCCAATACAGCGATGGATGGTTCTGGATGATTATCGCCATTTACACGAAAGAGAAAACGATGAATGGGGAAAATTAAAGTGGAAAAATTGAAATTCACACCTGACACCTTCGATACCTGACTTGCCAAACCAACAAAAATAATACTCGTCAAACTTCCTTTGCGCTAACAAGTTTAGTGAAGGAGAAAGGAATGCGACGAGACAGATTCCACAAATTTTGTCGCTGTGGTGCAAGGATACTTTCCGAAGATATTTATCAAAACGTCAGAAACGTCAGTGAAACGACAAAAGTTAGTACGTACAATTAACTGTTCTCGAGTTGTCGGAAGAAGAAATTCAATGTTGACTTGTAATTCCGTAAATTACCAAGTGACGCGAAGTTAATGGACTTTTGATTAAAAATGGAGGCAAACAACAAGAACGGACTTGCGATGCAGTTGCGATACGACAAACCCTCAAGTTCTGAGACGAGATGAATTTTCTGAGAAGAGATAAGAGGCGACATCGCACGAAGGATGTTGCGCCGATAACATCCTACTAAATATAAAAAAAGTGACCATGGACGTCACGCGAACTGACGTATAATATGATTTTTACTTGAACGCTTATTTACTCATAATTGATTGTCTTGGTAACGTGTCGGAAACTGGGAGGAACCGACGGCGACGATTTAGCGGCGGAGCGTCGAAATATCGCGACAGACAATCTTAGATCAATTATGTCATGTATTTCGAAACTATTACGACAGACTAACGCGACATGCGATAAGACGACGGACTGTCCTTGACCGATGACGAAGGTTTTGCGATGTTTATGCTATCAGCTAGAAACTTTAACATCATACAGATTATGCGTGCACCCGTTATCCTACATGAATTCATTTGTGTCTTTCAAAGATGTGAAAGAGTGTGATTTTCTTCATGCAGGATGCTAGCAGCAAATTGCCAAGCCAGATGTACAATTTTCCATCCTGTCTTTTGAAACGATTAAAAAATAGCCGAGGAACCAGACGAAAACCGACTGACTGGAAACAATATTGCTGTTATTGCAGCCGGAAACAATCGGCTGAACATTCGGCTGCTGCTTAAAATTCGATTAAGATAAGTAAAATAATTAAAAATAATTAACTGAACAGAAATTCTATGGAAACTCATTTGTTCTTACGAGCGATTCTTTGTTTGTACATAAAATGACAGAAAATCAGTTACACGCGAAATGAATTTGTTTTCTGTGTGTCTGCCGAAAAATTCTACTTATGTGCCCGAGTTAAAGCCTTTCATATGATAAAAAATCAATATTACGACCATATAACTTAGAGAGAGTTCTTGCGACCATAAAAATTTCCAAGACCGCCCAACACACAAACATATTCTAATCCGAGTGATATCGACAAACAGCTTCTCGAGATCTGCGAAGACAGATAATAAAAATATAGTTCGCAATCTAAATCGCGCGATTCCAGAGGCAGAGTTCAATTGTCGCCATGAGAACACGCGGTTTCGATAGTGAGAGGAAACATGAAGGAGACAATAATTTTATATGTATTGGGAAATTCTGTTACACGCGACTGATGCTCACAGCAGCAAAATGTTTTTGTCTACGACTATAATCAGTATGCGTGGCACGAAGTATACCGATTACAACCATGGCGACAATATACAACGTAATATTTCAAGGCCTCGTATTAGCGAAGTAAACACATCAAAAGCGATTGTCAATATTACACATACATATATATAGTTGAGATGATACCGCGATAAATCGAGCTGATTTATTGACAAATTAGCATGATCTGCGGTCGAATTCGCGACAGTTCGCACTGGTCGTGTAACAAATAGCTTAAGAATAATCTGAATGTGCGTATTTCATTAGAAATCACCGTGTGTCCTTCAAACTGTCGCGATTGATCGGCAAAAAAGCCATCATTTCTAATATCTATCTAATATCTATAAGCTATCGATTTCTAATAACCTCCGTCCAATTTTCCACACTTGCCATCTTGTTCACTTTCTAAAACACTACAAATGGAAAAGTGCCTGCTCTTCAACATAATGAATTAAAATCAAAAGTTGTGACAATGTGTTGTGACAAAAAAACTTGCTTTGTGTAACTGAAATTTCCCGTTATCTGAAGATCAGACAAAAACTCAATTGCAGAAAAAGAAAAAAACCCTGTATGAGATTAGTTATTATTTATTAATTATTTAGTCAACAGTTTTCAGTTATCTCAACCGTGTGTTTTACAACACAGCTTACGAATATTTTAGTTCAGACAACAGAGATATCGTCCCTGGTATCAGAAATTCACCTTTCTGAGTTCTTGTCTAGTCTCTATTCAGTTATACAAAAAGTAAGATTTTTTTTCTGTACAGCGGCTTGTTATCGACGACAGTCCAGGTCGTTCGAGTTGGAGTATAAAACTCGTATCGCGTTAAAATTCAAATTGCGGGTTACAATGTCAATGGCAATACCTCGGAAACGGTGAAAAACAAAAGTTCACACAATGTCATCGATTATCCTCGAGCTGTCAGATCTATAGGTCGCATGTTATCCCATTTGAAATATGCACTTCAGTGCAGGAACGTAGCTAAGGATAAACATAGCAAGGATACCCGATGTGTAGAATTTCGAAAATATAAAGAATTCGCATTTCTTTTCTTTTTTATAATATATATTGCGTTTTTATATTTTTATATTAATCTATTCACTCTCGAATGACCTCTTGTTTCAACCAACATCCACTCATTTATAATTCATAAACATTGACTTAAACAGTGACTCAAAATTACGATTTAACGTATAGAAAGGAACAAAATGTTTGGTCGTTGCATACAGAATGTCGAAACGTCGAATTAAAAATGTTTATTTGAATTTTCATGTCACTCAGAATGGAAAATTTCATAATCTGATTTCCATCAAATATAAAACAATCTAAAGGCGAGAATATGTTTCTATTTAAATCTGACTCTTTCTGCAACATTATATATGATTTTAAGATCAAAACATAATATACAACATAAATATATAAACAAACTATTGATAAACTTATACAACGATAACATAAAGATTTTTATTAGTTTTATAAGAGATTCATATACCTCGATATAAATTAACAATGAATAATTAGGGTGCATTAACTTCGTAGACGCGTTTTATTACACTGAAATTTTTCGAAATTCTACATTTCTCGTCTCTGATGTCTTCGGGCGATAATAAAGGCTCGAGAATCGCAAGTACGCTACTGGCTGTTGCAATTCGCGAGTATCGACAGGTGGATGGTCCAGGTCATAAAACTGGAGCATGCTTAACTACGACTGGATCCTGCATCTCTCCTGACACGATACCTGGTTTTGCGCGCTTTCGCTTCCGCTGCTGTGGACCTCTGCCGCCGGTTCAGTCTCTTGATTGCAAGATCACGAGATGTTGCCTCTGTGTTCTCTGTGATTCTGACTGTCTCGAAGCAAGCGATCGGAGCACGTTTACACACGTGGACGGAAGAACTCGAAGTGTACTCGCGATCGCCAAGCAGCGACTGGTCGTGCCTCCGATCGACTCCCCGCGTGTCCCACCGACGAGCAAACTGCAGACTCGCGATGTTCATCCACCACCGCCGGCGAACCGCACACGCGCATGTTCCGGCGTATGTAAATGAGTGATCGCGCGGATATATGCAAGCAAACACAAAACGGTGTCTATGATCGTGTTGGTGATTACATATAAATAAAGTGACTATATAAATAAAGTGACGTATAACTTTCAACTTAGTGACAGATATCCTGATCAATTCGGGATCATCTGTGTTAGCAAAGACGCGAAGGAGGCACTTGAATGTTTAATCATGAATACTTGAATCAAGTTTTTTTAATCATGAATACACATCTTTTTTAATCCCGGGAAGACGAACAACCAACAATGATCATCTCCAGCTGATTTCTCAAGCCAATTTTTATACGGAATTTAATTACAAAGTGATATATACAAGATTGAAATTCGGAAAATAATTGGAAATTATGATAAAACGTTTTACTTTCACGTTCCACCGGCATTTTCATCAAAAAGGATTGATTACAAGTAGCAAAAAAAAGTGCCCGCAGAATTTGACGACTCAATATACAATTATCTCATGCCGGCTACGAATATAAGGCTCAGAACAATTTATGATATAGTACGAAATTTTATATGCGGCAAAATGTGCTGAGCATTCATTCACATGAGTTTATTAATACATCACCGATACGATCAAGTGACATTTGACAGGATATCATTAGTTACATTTATGTTCGCACGTGGCTTACGCATCACGTGGCTATTGATAGTTACGCCGATTCATTCATTCTCAACTGACCAGTCCACGCGTTCATACTTGTACGACGCTACGCAGCCGTTAACAATGGGGAAACATGTACAAATGTACAAATATACACATACTTGATACTTGGTCAAACTACGATCAAATGAATCGCCAATGTGTCATCGTCGCTCTTCAGTCTCGTTACAGGGTTCTACTTTATCCTGGATGTTTTGCTGCGCGCATTGCTATCATCTATAAAACTGTTAACGCCGTCTCGCAATCTTATTATACCTAGTAAAATACAGACCAATAAATATATAAGCGAGAGCACATAAAAATGAATACGAAACATTGTTACATGTACGTGTGTTACATACATATACATAAAGTAACATCCGACTCTCCAGACTACATAAGCTGAATGGAGTTTGATTAAAACGACTAGAGTGTGTATGAGTGAGTTTAAATTTAGATCATTGCAATTGCTCGCGACTCTACTGGGACCGTAAATCATTCCTCTTTAGCAAAGACCAATTTGATATCTCTAAGTATGTTCGATTGGGCACACCTGCGCTTTATAAAGACGGATAAGGTATAAAATATAATATTATGCAACTATTACGTAATTAATCTTGCTATGAACAAGTAGTTCTTGTGAATTTCAACGTAAATACGGTAGAATTTCAAAGGTATTTAAGTAGTCGCTAAGACTTTATTAACAACTATAGTTAAAAATTATAGTGATTAAAATTCATTTAATTAATTACAAATTTATGGAGGATGGAGAAAGATAAACGATATATTCATGCGGCGTATATATAATTGGCGACAATTCTGTAATTCTATAACACGCAATATGTGATAAAGGAATTCCGTGAACAAGGGCATTGACTGACATAAGGTTAATAAGAGATGTCAAACGCGATCAACTCGTACTTGGTTTTGAGTGGTCGGCTGGCCACTCAAAAGTACAGCATTTGAAATCACTTGATCCAATGACTCCCCCCCATCTCATTAATCTATAATCTATAATCATAAAAAGTATTGAATATTATAAGTATTATATTAATAAATTATACACCAGTTCACAGTATCCATGTTAGATAATCATTTCTCAGTGATAAACTTTATTGCAACGTTGAGGATGTTGATACACGCAAAATTAAATCTACACGTTTAGATTATTATGACAGAGAAATGTTGCGTGTAAAGTAAATAATGATTACACGTATAAACGTATAATACTACAAGTTTATCAAAAACAATATTATTAAACGAATCATATTTTTATCAACTTTTCTTACTTCTTTTTCAAGACGAATGCATATAAAATAAAAATATAATTAATGTGGTGCATTCAGGCTCAAATAGCACCATAAAAATCGTGGTAATTATTTTTTTTTTTTTTAGTTATGGTATTATTTTACTTACCGTGCATGTCCTCTACTTTCGTTAAAGAATATATAAAACTATACAACACTCATACAGACACGATATTATCACTCGGGAAGGAGATCATCCCCAAGTTCCTCGTCACCAAAATCGTCGTCTCGTTTCCCAGCCGCTGTCATTGGACGCGTAGGGAGAGGTCCTACAGGATCTACGTAATTCACACCTATAGAGACAAGATAATTAAAACACGTTAAAATTAATTTACGAGATTTCAACAACTTCAATGAATTAAGTTATAAAATCTCGCGAATATCAAGTCACGTGAGAAACAGGCTCGTAATTCCAATAGAGCCAAGATTCCAATTTAAAAAATTTTTCTGATTCGTCTGATATCACATCACACACGTAGACGGAGCTGACATTTTAAGAATTAGAATATTTGTAATACAAATTATATTCAATTAGAATTACGCAGTAACTTCATGCTTGCTCCACTTCTATAGAACAACTTCTAGATGTAAATACAACAAATATCCTGATAATATTTATCCCTAGATTCATAATTCGAATCGCTAACGTTTTACCGAGTATTAAGTAGAGATAAAGAGAGAGCGTAAGAATAGACTAGTCAAAGAGGCTGCGGCCATCCATCATGTATTTAATCCATTAGAGTTCACGCGCTACCTGTAGATCACTCTTGCTGATGTTTGCTTTCGATAGAACTACCCAATGCTAAACCACTATCTCCCCTTTCCCCAACGTGATTGCTACATTTTACGCACATTGCATAATCGCATTAAAATCACGTAATAGACAATCTTATCAAAGATTATAAAAGTCGCTCAGGCGGGGAAGTAAACAGAGATATTCTTAATATAAGAGACACGGTTATATTGATTGGAAGTTTTATTAATTTTTGACGTACCTTGATAATCATTTCGGTCTGCAATTGGTCGTCGATCCGGACTTGGCCTATGATCTGACATTACACTTAGTCCTGAGCCAGCTCGCGATGATGTCCCGCTATTACTCTTCCGAGATCCTGCATGAAAACGTACAATTGAAATTCAATTATGATATACTTAAAAACAATAGGTAATTTGTACTTTTAGATATATTCAATCAATATCTAAGCAGAACAGCTTAATAAGAAAAAATAATTCATTGAATTATTTTTTTGCACGTAGATTCTATAATAGTTTTAATTATACATAATATATTCACACTTCATATCCACATAATATATTTACATGTTACTCAAACATTATTAACCTGTTAAATAGATTAATAATTTTTCTTCTCAAGTATGTACCTGTCGTGCCTGGCCTTGCTGACCCTTGTCTTTCTTTTAGTTCTTTAACTTTCTCAGCTTTCTTTAATTCAGCTGCATATATCTGCGCTTCTTTCAAACCCAAGTCGCTACATAGCCTAACTAAAAATTTCAGGCATTCTATGTTATCTGGGAATTTATTGTGAATGTTTTGATACTCCGTTAGAGCTTTATGAAATTGACCAATGCGTCTTAAACATGCGGCAACCAATAATCTCCATCTGGGTTCGTCCGGTGCGAGTTCTACCGCTTTTTCGAAATAAGTTAAAGCCTTTTCAGCAACCTTAAAGAGAAAATTAGGAAAATGCACAGAGCATTTTACATTTATTACATAGAAAGCAATATACTATTTAGGCAATGTAAAAAAATTTAATATTATATTATACCTGCATCGATATGAAATAGGATCCCAGCCAATCTATCACTTCAAAATTGGCAGGAAAAAATCTGTGAGACTGCAGCAAACGATAAATTATAACGAATACAAAGAGAATGCTATTGTATCAACGTGAGTGAATAGAATTAAACAATAAATTCAACTATGATACGCACATCGCTGTAAAACTGAAATGCTTGTTGCTTATCTCCCATTGAATCGTACATTTCCCCTAACTTTTGCAAAACTCCCGGATCAGATGATATTATACCTAACAACTGATTATACCTAAAATGATATTTAAATTAAAACTATATACATAAATCATTACAAAGTTATTGCCGTAAGAAAATACATAAAGCTTAGAGATTATTTAACTTTGCAAATTACCATTCAGACGCTTGATCGGCATCATTCATCAGCTGATACAAATGACCAAGCTGATATAACGTTTCCGGATCATGTCTAACAATGTTACGGACTTTCCAAAAGCACTCTAAAGCCTCTTCGTACATGTTCTGTTTTTTGTAAACTAAACCTGTAAAAAGTATATTAAATTAATGAACATATATGTAATTTATAACGGAAAAATGATTACATTAACGAAATAATTACCTAGATTGTACAAAGCTTGTACATGACTTGCATCTGTTTCCAATGCACATAAGAGCAACTCTCTGGCGATATTAAATTCATCTTTTTTAATTGCACAAGCTGATAAATTAACATAGGCTGCTGCATTGTAAGCATCAGAATTACGAGCTGCTTCACCATATTTCTCCGCTTGATCATAATCTCCCTGCTAAAAAACACTTCTTTGTAAACTCAGGGAATAGACCAGACATCTGTAAATATTTATAATTCTTTACTTACCAAATAATAGATGAACGAAAGCATAGTTGCTGCTGCACTGTTAGCTTTAGTGTCACGATTTTCGAACATTTTTAATGTATCTATGGCCAGTTGAGTTTCTCGGTTAAGTAAAAATACCATGGCCTTGTTTATTTCTAAATCTGCAGCTAAGAAACTATAAGCCGAAGATTTTATGGCGTCAACACACCTGAAAGAGACACAATTGCGTTGCTCTATATTAAGTCTTTCAAAATGCAATATAATTTTTATATGTTATTTTTATCATATTTGAGATATACCAGGCGAATCCAGCTGTGAGAGTATCCTCAATAACAGGCGCTATAAGTTTCGCTGCACAAAGTATAGTCTTCTCAGCTTCTAATTTCATTTCTTTTTCTAGCTTTGATAAATCGTCATTTTTTATAACTTCATTCAATATATTGGATGCAGCGTCGTCCTAAAAAAATATATATAAATAAGAAAATTTTTATATTTATATATTTATGTGAATAACTATTGATGTATAATTTCACGATTCTACCACATGTTCACATACAAGTGGATATTTCTATTAATATTTGGAAAAGGTAGAAGCACACAAAACAGAAGATAAGATGCAATAATAAGTATTGTATATTTGATGAAAAAAGAATATATATCATTATATAAATGTGTACGTAAAATATGTGCATTTTCACGTGAATTACGAACTAGTGCACACTATGATACATAGCGGTGCAAGTGCCGGCAATATCTTCATAAATATATAACTCTAGCCATGAAAATAAAATTGTCGCCAACTCACGGGATTCATACTGTACTTGTCTTCTTGATCTACGTTAAGTTGTACCTCTAATAATTCAAAAAACGCTCTTTTCATCTTATCACGATGAGATAACGCGAAATGACACAAAACGGTGTGCAAACCTGCTTTAAATTCGGATCTTTCTCTCATCACCCATTCAAAACTATTAGCTGCTTCTTCTAATCGACCCATTTGTACAAACAACATCGCCATGTTATGCATTATTTTTATTCTGCGAAATGTTTGTCGGGTTAATGTTGTTACTGTTAAGGACTGTGCCGGAACATTCTTTGCAATAGTTCTCAGTTACAATCTGGTATGTCAATGTATTCACCTTAGATCTTTATGAACAGTCGGGGCTTGATCAAATGCCATTCTGTACATTTTAATAGCCTGAGATAGTTGTCCTATTTTCACGTAAATATTACCCATATTGACTTTAAGCCTGGCACTATTGCTGAACATTCTGTTCCTTGTTATAGCCTGATAAGTCGCTATAGCTTCTGTATACATCTCATTGTTTGTATATTGAATAGCTAAGTTGAATAACACCTATTGAAAAACGAATAGAACATTTGTGATTACAAAGAGAGAAACAGTCATGAGAAATTACAGCGATTTAAAGAGCTTACAGCAAACGTCAAATCTATATTATGACTATCACTGAGACCAGCTTGTTCCTGCAGTCGTATAAGGGCTCTTTCTCTTGAGGAAGCTTCACGCGCGCGTTCTAAGGCAATCCTCATATTGTTCTCTGAAGCTGACACGGCAGAACTTTCTATCAGACTCATTATCTTCCTTTCTGTAGCTTTTATTTTTTCTTCTGGCCTTAAATAATAAAACAGACAATTATTGCATAATCTTCTAATGTTGCAAATAGAATGTAAAAAAAATATAATACAATATATACAAATAAATATACTTGTAGATATAAAGTCTTACGTGTCTTCTTTATTAGTTTCTAATGGTGGTGCAGGAACTTTTGTACTGCTACCCATGTTAAGAGGATCAAAAGTTTGTCTACTACTGCTGGTATATCCAGCACTTCTAACTGCTGTCATTGGTCTAAGCCCACCAGTCATAGGCTGCATTGATGTGGTAGTGCCGCTTCTCTGAAACTAAAAAAGCAAAAGCTTGAGATGTAACGTAACAAAGTTTTCATACATTTAACATCAATTTTATGAGAAATATAAACAATAATATATTACAAAATAAACTATTTTATAATATGAATAACCAATTTTACAATATAAACTATCTATAATATAAACTATTATAATATAAACAAATTTAATAAACTTTTATAAACTATTTTTTTAACAGCTTGCTTACTCTGCTTGATGTTCCAAAACGCATTGCACTACCAGGTGTCTTTGGAGTAAACTATCAAGAAACATTCATAAATATTTTAGAAACAATAATTAAACTAATATTTTGATTAATTGTTAACTAATACTTGTTTAGTTAATAACTATTAACTAATATTTGTTTCTGTTTCAACTTTTGACAAAATGAAACAGAATGACGACATTATGATGATTCTATAAAGTATTTCTACTAGCTAGTATTTCTAGTAAACAATGAAACAAACTTGAACAACTTCATACAGAGTACAAGTGTGACCAATAAATATATATGATACTTACTACTGATCTTTTCGCATTGCTTGTTTTAATAACCTCCTGAAATAATTCATCCTGCTCATTGATGTCATACACTGATGAATAATCATTATATCCCATATAAATGTCATCTTCAATTCCTGCCGCAGCCATGGCTTTTTATATTGTTATATTATTCACCTTGTATATACAAAATATTTATTAGTGAGTTTTATGCATGTATACAAATAAATATGATTCTTTATAAAATTAGCCATTTCTAAATATGGTTTTAATATGAATAATTTGGACAAATTAAAATCACAGAACTAACCTGTCTGGTTCTCTTTCAAAGTATTTGAAATTATAACGTAACGAAAATTTCACATCTAACAATGACGAATAAAAATTTAGTAGTAGCAGAAAGTAACCTGAGAGCGGCTAACACGACATTTTCTGCGACACCGACTTTCCGCACTGGGAAAGGACACCATCTGCATCCATTTTGAAAGGGGAACTACGATGCTACATCCACTTTCAGGTTTCGGCGGTAAAACCTGTATGTGGTGGCAGTCCGTGCTACATCCATTTTTAGGCGGTTTATGTCCGTGCTATAACCATAATAGCGTACTTGACAAGCACGGTCTCGCACATTGTTTATAATATGAATTTTTATCGAATATCGATTAATACTATAAATCAGTGTCAAAAAATTGCACACGTGCAATGACAATTTGTTCTTATTTTTCAGGTACATACCCCTCTAATCTTATTCAACAAATTAACTCAGATAAACGAGCGATTCGTATCAATTTTTCTCTTCTTATAGAGAAATGAAAGAGTAAATCAGTACCGAAATCGAAGACCGATCAATATCTAATTTATTCATCAAATTAACTCGGATAAACGAACGATTCGTATCAATTTTTCTCTTCTTATAGAAAAATGAAAGAGTAAATCAGTACCGAAAATCGAATATCGATCGATACCGTAAATCAACGTCAGAAAATTGTCCACGTGCAATAACAATTTGTTCTTATTTTTTAGGTACTTACCCCTCTAATTTACTCAACAAATTTACTGGAATAAACGAATGATTCGTATCAATTTTTCTTCTCTTATAAAGAAATGAAAGAATGAATCAGTACTGAAAATTGAAGACCGATCAATATTTAATTGTATGTATATTTTATTGATTCCCCTGGCGGGGTTACAAATTCTAATATAATCTCTCCTCCTTATTTCCTATTACGCTCGCCTCTACACGCCCCTCGCACACACACACACACACTCCCTTAAATCTACTTTACAAACGTCTTACATCTACTCGCTCGCTTATCTCTTATAATTAATTGTTCGCTTATCATCTATTCTTATACATATGTATATATCTATATTTCTATGCCGCTGTTACTCCTATAATTCTTATTTCCTATCGCCGATCTTCGCTTTCCTCCATTCATTCCATTCCTTCACACTCTCTCCCTCGCTCTCTCTTTCTCTCATCCTTTTATTCCTCCTCCTCCTCCTTCTAGCCTCTCCCCTCCTAAACCTCTCTCATCCCCCCTCTCCCCCCTCTCCTAGCAATCTTTCTACCACCTATCCCCATCCCTCTCCCTCTCCCCCCCATAGTGCACGATCAATATTTAATTTATTCATCAAATTAACGCGGATAAATGAACGATTCGTATCAATTTTTTCTTTTCTTATAGTACAATGAAAGAGTAAATCAGTACCGAAAATTGAATATTGATTAATATCATAAATCAGTGTCAGAAAATTGTCCAAGTGCAATGACAATTTGATCTTATTTTTCAGGTACATACCCTTCTAATTTACTCAACAAATTAACTCTGTTAAACGAACGATCCGTATCAATTTTCCTTTTCTTATAAAGAAATGAGAGAATAAATCAGTACCGAAAACCGAACACCGATCAGTACCTAATTTTTTCATCAAATTAACGCGGATTAAACGATTCGTATTAATTTTCGGTTTTCTTATAGAGAAATGAAAGAGTAAATCAGTACCGAAAATCGAATATCGATTAATACCATAAATCAGTGTCAAAAAATTGCACACGTGCAATGACAATTTGTTCTTATTTTTCAGGTACATACCCCCCTAATCTTATTCAACAAATTAACTCAGATAAACGAACGATACGTATCAATTTTTCTTGTCTTATAAAAAAATGAGAAAATAAATCAGTACCGAAAATCGAAGACCGTTCAATATCTAATTTTTTCATCAAATTAACGCGGATAAATGAACAATTCGCCTGAATTTTTTCTTTTCTTATAGAAAAATGAAAGGAGAAATCAGTACCGAAAATCGAATACCGATCAATATCGAATTTACTCATCAAATTAACGTGGATAAACAAATGATTTGTATCAGTCTTTTTTCTTTTATAGAGAAATCAAAGACTAAATCAGTACCGAAAACCGGATATTGATCAATACTATAAATCAGCGTTAAAAAATTATCTAAGTGCAATGACAAGTTGTTTTCATCTTGCAGATACTCACCCCATTAATTTACTCAACAAATTAAGTCGGATAAGAGAAAGATTCGTATCAATTTTTATTCTCTTATAAGGAAATTAGAGAATCAGTCACTACCGAAAATTGAAGACCGATCAATATTTAATTTATTCATCAAAATAACGCGGATAAATGAACGATTCGTATGAATTTTTTTTCTTATAGAAAAATAAAAGAGTAAATCAGTACCGAAAATCGAATATCGATTAATACCATAAATCAGTGTCAGAAAATTGTCTAAGTGCAATGACAATTTGTTCTTATTTCTCAGGTACTTACCCCTCTAATCTTATTCAACAAATTAACTCGAATAAACGAATAATTCGTATCAATTTTTTTTTTACTTATAAAAAAGTGAGAAAATAAATCAGTACCGAAAACCAAAAACTGATCAATACCATAAATCAGCATTAGAAAATTGTCTGAGTGCAATGACAAGTGGTTTTCATCTAGCAGGTGCTTACCCCACTAATTTACTCAACAAATTAAGTCGGATGAAAGAACGATTCCTACCAATTTTTATTCTTTTATAAAGAAATTAGAGAATCAGTCAGTACCGAAAATTGAAGACCGATCAATATTTTATTTATTCATCAAATTAACGCGGATAAATGAACGATTCGTATGAATTTTTTTTCTTATAGAGAAATGAAAGAGTAAATCAGTACCGAAAATCGAATATCGATTAATATCATAAATCAGTGTCAAAAAATTGTCCAAGTGCAATGACAATTTGTTCTCATTTTTCAAGTACTTACCCCTCTAATCTTATTCAACAAATTAACACGGATAAACGAACGGTTCGTATCAATTTTTTTGTCTTATAAGGAAATGAGACAATAAATCAGTATCGAAAACAGAAGACTGATCAATATTTAATTTATTCATCAAATTAACACGGATAAATAAATGATTTGTATCAATCTTTTTTTCTTTTATAGAGAAATCAAAGACTAAATCAGTACCGAAAACCGGATATTGATCAATACTATAAGTGAGCATTAGAAAATTGTTTAAGTGCAATGATAAGTTGTTTTCATCTTGCAGGTACTTACCCCATTAATTTACTCCACAAATTAAGTCGGATAAAAGAACGATTCGTATCAACTTCTCTTCCATTATAAAGAAATTAGAGAATCAGTCAGTACCGAAAATTGGAGACCGATCAATATTTAATTTATTCATCAAATTAACGCGGATAAATGAACGAATCGTATGATTTTTTTTCTTATAGAGAAATGAAAGAGTAAATCGGTACCGAAAATCGAATATCGATTAATACCATAAATCAGTGTCAAAAATTTGTCCAAGTGCAATGACAATTTGTTTTCATTTTTCAGGTACTTACCCCTCTAATCTTATTCAATAAATTAACTCGGATAAACGAACGATTCGTATCAATTTTTTTGTTTTATAAAGAAATGAGAAAATAAATCAGTACCGAAAACCGAAGACTGATCAATATTTTATTTATTCATCAAATTAACGCGGCTAAATGAACGATTTGTATAAATTTCTTTTTCTTATAGAGAAATGAAACAGTAAATCAGTACCGAAAATCGAATATCGATCAATACTGTAAATCAGTGTCAGAAAATTGTCCAAGTGCAATGACAATTTGTTTTCATTTTTCAGGTACTTACCCCTCTAATCTTATTCAACAAATGAACTCGGATAAACGAACGGTTCGTATCAATTTTTTTGTCTTATAAGGAAATGAGAAAATAAATCAGTACCGAAAACCGAAGACTGATCAATATTTTATTTATTCATCAAATTAACGCGGCTAAATGAACGATTCGTATAAATTTCTTTTTCTTATAGAGAAATGAAACAGTAAATCAGTACCGAAAATCGAATATCGATCAATACTATAAATCAGTGTCAGAAAATTGTCCAAGTGCAATGACAATTTGTTTTCATTTTTCAGGTACTTACCCCTCTAATCTTATTCAATAAATTAACTCGGATAAACGAACGATTCGTATCAATTTTTTTGTTTTATAAGGAAATGAGAAAATAAATCAGTACCGAAAACCGAAGACTGATCAATATTTTATTTATTCATCAAATTAACGCGGCTAAATGAACGATTCGTATAAATTTCTTTTTCTTATAGAGAAATGAAACAGTAAATCAGTACCGAAAATCGAATATCGATCAATACTGTAAATCAGTGTCAGAAAATTGTCCAAGTGCAATGACAATTTGTTTTCATTTTTCAGGTACTTACCCCTCTAATCTTATTCAACAAATGAACTCGGATAAACGAACGATTCGTATCAATTTTTTTTGTTTTATAAAGAAATGAGAAAATAAATCAGTACCGAAAACCGAAGACTGATCAATATTTTATTTATTCATTAAATTAACGCGGCTAAATGAACGATTCGTATGAATTTTTTTTTCTTATAGAGAAATGAAACAGTAAATCAGTACCGAAAATCGAATATCGATCAATACTGTAAATCAGTGTCAGAAAATTGTCCAAGTGCAATGACAATTTGTTTTCATTTTTCAGGTACTTACCCCTCTAATCTTATTCAACAAATGAACTCGGATAAACGAACGGTTCGCATCAATTTTTTTGTCTTATAAGGAAATGAGAAAATAAATCAGTACCGAAAACCGAAGACTGATCAATATTTTATTTATTCATCAAATTAACGCGGCTAAATGAACGATTCGTATAAATTTCTTTTTCTTATAGAGAAATGAAACAGTAAATCAGTACCGAAAATCGAATATCGATCAATACTGTAAATCAGTGTCAGAAAATTGTCCAAGTGCAATGACAATTTGTTTTCATTTTTCAGGTACTTACCCCTCTAATCTTATTCAACAAATGAACTCGGATAAACGAACGATTCGTATCAATTTTTTTTGTTTTATAAAGAAATGAGAAAATAAATCAGTACCGAAAACCGAAGACTGATCAATATTTTATTTATTCATTAAATTAACGCGGCTAAATGAACGATTCGTATGAATTTTTTTTTCTTATAGAGAAATGAAACAGTAAATCAGTACCGAAAATCGAATATCGATCAATATCGTAAATCAGTGTCAGAAAATTGTCCAAGTGCAATAACAATTTGTTCTTATTCTTCAGGTACTTACCCCTCTAATCTTATTCAACAAATTAACTCGGATAAACGAACGATTCGTATCTATTTTTTTTGTCTTATAAAAAAATAAGAAAATACATCAGTACCGAAAACCGAAGACTGATCAATACCTTAAATCAGTGTCAAGAAAATTGTCCAAGTGCAATGACAAGTTGTTTTCATCTTGCAGGTACTTTCTCCATTCATTTACTCAACAAATTAAGTCGGATAAAAAAACGATTCGTATCAATTTTTATTCTCTTATAAAGAAATTAGAGAATCAATCAGTACCGAAAATTGAAGACCGATCAATATTTAATTTATTCATCAAATTAAAGCAGATAAATGAACGATTATGAATTTTTTTTTTCTTATAGAGAAATGGAAGAGTAAGTCAGTACCGAAAATCGAATATCAATCAATACCGTAAATCAGTATCAGAAAATTGTCCAAGTACAATGACAATTTGTTCTCATTTTTCAGGTATTTATCCCTCTAATTTAATCAACAAATTAACTCGGATAAACGAATGATTCGTATTAATTTTTCTTGTCTTATAAAGAAATGAGAGAATAAATCAGTACCGAAAATTGAAGATCGGTCAATATTTAATTTATTCATCAAATTATCACGGTTAAATGAACGAGTCGTATCAATTTCTTTTTCTTGTAGAGAAATGAAAGAGTAAATCAGTACCGAAAATCGAATATCGATCAACACCATAAATCAGTGTCAGAAGATTGTCCAAGTGCAATGACAATTCGTTCTCATTTTTCAAGTATTCACTTGTATAAGTTAGAATTTGATAAAAAAAAGTTTTTCCCGAGTCGAAATATTAATTCTACATTAATCCTGCAAATTGCATCCAATTTGAAAAATCAATGCAGAATATCTAGATGCGCAGTAGTGAAAAAAGCTTTGTCCTACCTGAATGTTACATCTGGCTACTCTCGCAGTCTCGCCCATGATGAGTCTTCAACAGCGACATATTCCGCAGTTATTTGATACTTGTTTATCTCGATAATGTATATGTACTTAATCCTTATATTCTTAATTTAAATGAGCAATTTTTGTTGATATTGATTATATATTCGCTTAACAGTGCAAGAAAGAGAACAAATATAAAAACGTAAATAGAACTACCTTTGTTAGAACTGCGCGTGAGATAAATATATAAGGATTAAATAATCATATAAAAATTAGAGGAAATGGGAGATGAAAAACACTTTTTATTCTCATCATTCTTAAAGTTCTTTTTTCCTTTTTTCTTCTCTTTTTTTCTTTTCTTTTTTCTAATGAGAATGATGAGAATTGTAGCTCTCAAAAGAGCTGAAGCTGCAAAAAGATAACGGTTATGTCTAATAATGCTGTTTCACTAATAGAGATTTTGATTCAGATTCGGTACAATAAGAAAGATAAACAAGAATGAGAAACGGACATTCTAGCAGATTCTAAACGAAAACAGCAATCTGAGCATTATTAGACGAATAAAAATCAACACTTGTAAAATTTATATCAGATTCTAAGATCATTATTCATAGTTTTCTAGATTATGTGCAATTTTTCATTGAGAACATAATTACAAATTTGTATTTATAAACCTTAGCTTGCCTCAGTAACGTTGCTTGAATAGACATTCATATTTTATGAGAAAAGAAAAGTAGAGCTCATGTTACGTGAAATTAGGTTAATGAATAATCAAATCTCAAGCTATTTTATCATTTTTCAGATGATAAACTATGAATGCTGATCTAATTTCGACTCGGGTATGTCCTTACTTCGAGTAAGGTCTGTTAAAATCAGAAAAATCCTGCATAATAATAATTACTCGAGGTACCTCGAATACCATACATGATGTATCGCTGTCCACGTCTCTCGGCGCGCTCCATGTCCTCTCTCCATCCTGATTTCTCGATCCGACGTCCTCCTTCTGGTCTCCGTCGCAGCACCTCCGGATACTCCATCGTAGCACTGGTGACGACACTGACTCTAGTTCTAACACTCGCGCAAGTAAAATTCGGGGACAAAGAAACGCGTATTAACCGATACGACTACCGACACTCGTACTTTGCGTCGCGGTATGCGCGTCGTTCGTCGGCTCGAGGCGCAATGTCCTTGCCGCAATCACGCAGTCATATATAAGGGTACGAAACCAAACAATCGGGAAGGCACGGTTACCCCCCACCAGTCGCTGACCTTGCCGATCAGTGTTGATGCCTGCGTCGTCCGTTAGCTGAAAATGAAAACAACTCGTGTTTTCAAAGCATGCCTGTGAAAGACTCGCTTCAAACTTCACAATACTTGTTTACGTCTGTTCCAAGAATCATATTACGCCGAATTCAAACTGTCTCTATTTTGACATGACATACACGAGATCTGCGATCGCATCATTGATCTTTCTTTGGACAAGAAAATCCTGAGAGCAGTCCGCACGCTGTTCGAGAATAACGCATTTTATGTTTGAGGTGCCTTGCAGATTATCGAATCCGATGTAACAGATCAGGGAAAGTATGAATGCGTCGCTATAAATAACACCGTGGAGTACTCCAAGTCAATCACGTTATACGTGAAACGTACGTATATTTAATTATTATTATTAACATCCACACGCGCGAGTCGAGACGTGCGAGTGTACATTTATTTTCTAGCTTAATTAACGAGTACACAGTCTCACAGTCAGTGTTCTCGCAAGAGAGAAAATGTAATTTACGTAGTATCTTATTAGACGTTGTAGATGAAAATGTTGCGTTCTGATTGGTACATTTCCGAAGATGGATAGAAATGCACCAATCAGAACGCAGTATTTTCATCCAGCAAACAATTCAGCACGAAAACAAGCACCGTGTGCCGCTGGCTTAACAGCTCTGCTCGAAAGAGCCATTTATTGAACCAGAACCACTTTAAATTGTCGGTAAAAACAATGAAGGCTTGTTGAAGCTTTTGAATAATATATTTGAATAATAGGCAATCCGTTAAACCTATTCAATCGACATCGATTTTAGAAATAAAAAGCACGAACGTGACGAATATTATTTATTTTGATTGCTTTGTTCACAAATATTTTTCTGAAATATATTTCGAATATTGACCTTGAAACTGTTTTAATAACTGCGCTCTCGTACCGTTGGCCGAGGAGTTTCCGCAGACCGACGTAGCGCTCGAGGCGCCGTTAACAACGTTCCCTGGCAGCTGATTGGTCTTCAGTCGTCTGACCACACCACAGTGCTCTAGGAAGTTTCGAGAACAGAAATCGACGGTGATAGTGGTGGGAGTTCTGGGCGCCCAGCGTAGTTCGTCAAACGTTACCGCGTGCATTTTGAGGGGAGCGAGCTAACGTCATACAGAATTTGCGCGGTCATCCTCGCCCAGCAGAGACTCTCTCCGGCTTGGTTGCTTATACAGGTAAGTCTTCACCGTTTGGCATTGCGTGAACGCGAATTTTCCATCGGCGGAACGATCGGCGATGGGCGAGTATGGACGGACGGGCCGTCGAGTCGCACCACGATCGATCCACAAGCGCCTCCGCGATTTTTCTCCCGAGACAGCAGCAGTCCCCGGCTGGCGTTCGAAGCGTGCGAGGCGTAGATTCGTCTAGAACTTTTCGTCGAGCCACCGCCACTGTATAGTCGCGTCGCGGTTTCTCTCGGTGTAACCCATCAGCGGACGATCGAAGGTTGCAGAGATATATCCGTTGGTACGTGGTGCATGCGTAAGTGCGAACGTCGAAGACATTACGAAACGGAAATTCGCCCAAATCGTCGCTCGACCGCGCGAGCGTTAGTGCAATGGCATGAGTCGCGTTGCTGCTTTAGAAGAATATGGTGGAAGCTCGTGTAACTTGGCTCTTCTATTCGCTCGCTCGCCTGACGCATTAATTAATACTCGCCGCGAAATATTCGTGAGAGAAACGTACGTGATGGTTGCTCACGCTCACTCCGATCACACGCTTATTATCCGTGTGATGATATGAAAACCTGCGCCGTCGACGGCTCTTTTGCGTCAAGAGGAAGCCTCGCGAGCTATTTGGCAAGCGCAACGCGCTTTATGCCGTTACAGCGATCTCGCTGCTGCTCGGTGCTGCCCGTCACTCGCTCCGATGTATTTATACGATAGTGGAAGGATCTAGAAAGCGCGCCGACGTCTTTATTCACCGAGTAACGACGCCACGCCGCAAAATTGCCTTTTAATTTTCTCCTTTCGTTAATCTATTTAATCTTACAACTCTTAGCCTCATCGTAGACGCCATTTTGAAACTCACAATCCACATGGATATTACCAGTCGTCAGATTTACGGGCGACTCTACGACTTTAGCTTCGGTTACGTTGCATCTACGTGTATTGCGCGAGAAAACGTTCGTAGCCTGATAATCGGAGCTTTCGGATACTTCGTATCGGAGTCCATCAGATAAACATTGTGTTTTAGCAGTTTTTCTATTCTCACTCTTCCGATAGTATCGTTTTTGCTAATTTTGCTCGTTAAATATAGCGATGACGGAAACTCAGTCTGAAATTCAAGGTCGTCAGGTCAAAAATTTCGTTTTATCAAAACGAATCATGTGATGTGTGACAAAAGATAATCCGAACATTTATTTGTGTATGTTGTCCATATTTCTTCTTCATTCTTCAAAGGTTTCCAACCTGGAATGCTTGGATGGACTTGGAGGAACTATAAACTGGATGGACAAAAATTTTGTCCTTGCAAAGATTTTTTTACTAAAATCATATCAATAAAATTGGCAAATTTATATTTACAATGTTTTAATAATTATATGTATTGCTGCATTTTAACTCGTCGTCACTCTTTTGTAATTCTGTAGATTTTGTTATGTATTTAAAAATACAGTTTTATAGAGGAATTCATGCTGGAAAAAAAGATTGAAAATTCTTAATTTATAGATTGACTAGTGAACGATATAACTGATCCATTGAATATATCTATACTACATGTTTACACTATGATCTCACCATATTTGAGTATAATGTGTCACACAATGCCTTGCAATCTGTTGTAAGCATCACAAAAGTGATGCAATCAGTTGAAACTTTATGAATTAATTATGAGACAAACTTGGTTAGTTGCTGCATAATAGTATACTGTTTTTGATCGCATGCATGAGTTTTATTCCTCTGTTGCAACATCAAATTATTATTTTGTTATAATGAATAAAGTATATATATAATTATACTGTTTGTCCGGTGCTGCTTTGTCAATAGATTATGGAACAGCTGCGTTAGATATTTTGACAGACAATTTATCACATTCGTATTATTTTTGAAAGAAGTATAAAGCATATATTTTAGATACTTATTGATGAGGAAAGTTGCATATTATATGTGTATATATATATATATAGAGTTGTGTTATTTGTATTTTGTCACTTAAGTAACATTCAGTGAAAATATGAATCATTGGAAACTTTATGGACAAAACTTACTCCTCCTCCTTTTTTACCAATTCATTTAAGAATGGTATATATAAGTAGTCAAACATAAATAATTATTACCTTAAAAATATTGACACAGTATAAAACTATAAAAAGATCTGCTGCATTTTTAGTTAACATCTTAGATAGATTCATTCAAGTATTTTTAATGGATGTTGTTTTGAAGAAACTTTAAAAATACTTTATCGACTGAGTTACCTTAGTATTTCATACGACATCATTCGAGTATTTTTAAATGATTTTTTAATTATTAAAAATTATTATAAAAAACAGGCTTCATTATATGTAGATATATAGAGAATGGATATCTATATGTTCTATCGTTATAATAATCAGTGTTAAAAGTTGAGAGAATTTATGCAATATCTTTATTTTTCCTTTGTCTCATCAATAGGAGGAGTTTTAGCACAAGTTATTCAAAAGGACTTTAATACTCTGTGAAAATGGTTAAGGAGACTACATTTTATGACGTGTTGGGCGTGAAGCCTGGATGCGCACAGGACGATTTGAAGAAGGCCTATAGGAAGCTTGCTTTGAAGTATCATCCTGACAAGAATCCTAATGAAGGCGAACGGGTTTGTGTCGATCTTAATTTGAAGCGCTTAGAAATATTTTTATATCACATTCCATACCTTGTCATGATCACACCACCAATTTTACAAAGAAATATCTTTAGAGTATTTTGCCTTTGTTTCAGTTTAAGCAAATCTCTCAAGCGTATGAAGTACTGTCGAACCCTGAGAAGAAACGTGTTTACGATCAAGGTGGTGAACAAGCTTTGAAAGAAGGAGGCATGGGCAATAGTGGCTTCTCGTCTCCTATGGATATTTTCGACATGTTCTTTGGAGGAGGTTTTGGACGAGCTCGAAGGAGAGAACGTAGAGGTCAGGATGTCATTCATCAACTGTCCGTTTCTCTGGAAGAATTGTACAAAGGAACTGTACGTAAACTTGCTCTGCAAAAGAATGTTATCTGCGAGAAGTGCGAAGGTAATTTAATTTAAAAGTTATAATCGCAAAAGGGGTTATCCAACGGCACAGAAACGAGACAATTTTCCTTTTGGTATCTTGATTAGGTATTGGCGGAAAGAAAGGTTCTGTTGAGCAGTGTTCTATATGTCACGGATCTGGACTGCAAGTACAAATCCAGCAGTTAGGACCGGGAATGCTGCAACATTTACAAACCATGTGTTCAGATTGCAAAGGTCAAGGTGAACGTATCAATCCTCGTGATCGTTGCAAGCATTGCAATGGAAGAAAGACTATTAGAGATAGAAAAATTCTCGAAGTTCATGTCGACCCGGGAATGGTTGACGGCCAGAGAATCACTTTCACTGGCGAAGGTGACCAAGAGCCAGATTTGGAACCTGGTGACATAGTTATCTTACTTGAGGAAAAGGAACATGAAGTATTCAAGTTAGCATCATCATAACTGAATAATTACACTGTAATTCGCTTGCTCATTGTCGCGTAACTTCATGACTAATGTATCGCTGTCGATTATCTTCCAGGCGTTCAAGGAACGATTTGATAATGAGAATGCAATTGGAACTGGTAGAGGCATTATGTGGATTCCAAAAAGTTATCCGCACATTGGACGGTAGAGATCTGCTGATAACTTCGCTGCCTGGCACCGTTACGAAACACGGTGACTTGAAATGCATCTTGAATGAAGGCATGCCGATTTACAAGGATCCGTTTACCCACGGCAGACTCATAATGCAATTCATAGTCAATTTCCCGAAGAACATTAACCCATCGGTCATCCCGTCATTGGAGCAGTGCTTGCCACCGAGGGAAGAAGTTGTAATTCCGAACGGAGCCGATGAGTGCATTCTCACCGACTTGGATCCTGAGCAGGAGGCGAGGCGAAGGGACACGAGACAAGCATATGAAGAGGACGAAGGAGGCCCGTCACGAGTCCAATGTGCCACGCATTAATTTGATTACATTAACCCTGTAATAAACATAGCCATTTTTTTCATTTTTGTCCCATTCGCTCGACTCCGTGTCATGCTAAAGAAAGAAATAATATAGCTGGATATATAGGCGAATCGCTCAACGAGATAGAAAGAACGAAAGGAGGAGAGAAAACAAAATGAAGACACGATTCGATTCCGAATACGCGCAGGACTATGGGAATACCGCAGCTGCCGTGTTCTCGATGCTCGATCCTTACGCAAAGATCTTGAAGGTAGATGACCATTGTCAGGCGATGAGAGTCTAGACACATCTATTATTAGCTGTGCTGGAAGTATAATGAAAGTACATTGTAAATTCTGGCAAGGAGCGCATCTCATCCATCCGCAATGGCATTCATTTAGTTTCGCTTAAGTAGAGGATCATTAAGAGCGTGTACTTATCATTACACACAGTGGTAAGGAAATTTCGATTTATTTAACGATCTAATGTAACAAGAAAAAAAAAAGAATGAGAGAACGAACACTATTTGTCGGTCGTAAATTATACACAGCGTATATGTTGTAATTCATGTATCTCGAACATCGTGATTATTCTCCGCTATTCGACCAATTGTATCGCCCCAATAATCAGCTAGCAGCTCAGCAGTGATTACTACGTGGTTAAGCATAGAATTAAAATCATAATGTATATTTAGTTGAAATTTGTCGTTTGTCTATGTACACCATTTTTCTGGCCCTCCAGATTATAGTAGTAGTAGCACTCAATTACTTCAAAATCTCAAGATCCGAAAAAAGATTGTTGTCTTTTACAGTTTTTTAGAATTCGAAAGTAATAATATCGGGATGTGTCGGTTTATGTGGGAAGAAACTACCGTGCAAACTACGTTTGATTATAAAGCGATATTATGGTGTTATCGGTTATATTAGAGATCTCAAAACTTCTCTTCTCAAAGTGGGACATTATTCCATATTCATAGTATTTAATTTCTTTTCCAAGTCGCTTTTATATACTGGCGTGTGACGATAATTAACAAATATACGATTTTGTTTGCGAATAATGCAAATAAAATGAAGAATCAGGTTCCTGTATGTGTGTGGACGATTGCGCGTATTCGTAAGCAGCTCTGTGCAATTCTGTGTCGTTGAATATCAAACGATCAATTTCTTTTTCATCTTTATCCATATATTGTATAACCAAGTAAAAGCGATGATAGTGAAATTAGGAAATCTTCAAATTGAAATTCAGTTAAAACTAGGAAATTTACGGAAAGATCTTTTAATAATTTCTGATTATTTTCGAGAACTTATTCGTTTCGTCTTACCATAACCCTATGATTAACGCGCATGAACGAATGCTATAGATGATCCTTAGTTCTTCTTGTACTATATTAAATTAATATACTTTCGATACATTCACATATTATTTACTGTATACGAGGTCGTGTACTCGTCCGTGGTTACTATAGCAAATTTTAATAAATAGCCCCATATGTCTCTTGTAATCTTATTTATTATAGAAAAAAAAAATGGTGATTAGTATCCTTTTTTGAGCGTCATAAATAAATTTTAAACAGCATAACGTGTGATCGATTCCGAAACCTTGCGATATTAGATCTAGATAATTCCATTTTCATTTCGCGGAACTTTCCTTCCGTATCTCTCTTATCTCCTATCCTTCCTCTATTAAATAGCGAATAAACGCTATTTAATCACGTAATGACGTAGTGTTATATTATCTAATTTGCGGTCAGTTTCGATGCTAATTAATTACAACCGCAGTTTAAGATCTTTTTTCCCTATTTTGGCCTCAGACGAGGAAAACCCGAGTGAGACTGAAAAGTTGGTTTTCAACTGCATATCTGTATAAAGAATATATATATATATATATTTCTTTTCCATATCAAACGTGCAGTTAATAGAATAGAAAGAATAGAAGCGAAATCGGAGATATATCGCCGCAACAATGTAACATACGCGACGAGCGAATTTCAATCTGTTGCGAAAGAAAGCTGCTGCTCGGGCAGGTGCGGGGCGCGCGGGTGATGGAGAGGGGAAAGACGGGAAGAGAAAATCAGATATCGGGTTTAGTAAGTACGTAAATGTCAACCGCAGAGTTAACGCGCGGCTCTGCCGACGGATAGCGGCACCGTCGCTAACGAGGGTCGATGTTTTCAGCGACGTGCTTAGTGGCGTGTGCGAGTGGCCGCGAGCCAGGCAGCCAGCCAGCCAGCCGTCGGGATGCCGCAGAGGTTTCTGGGTATGCGGTGGGAGCCATATTTTTCCAATATCAGTTACGTATAAACGTAGCGCGTACGCACAGGCATATCCGTACGGCAACGGCATCTCGAACGGCGTGCCGCGCGGTGGCCGTGTCCGCCGGCAGAGAGTGAACGCGCGCGCGTACGATCGCGGGACGTCGAAGCAGGATCGGCGCGCGAGACGTAATCGGAGCGTCGCGCACGGCCACCGGTTGTCAGGAAAAATATAATAATCGGCCGACGAATGTAGATCCGCGCGAGCGACGAGCGAGCCAGAGAGCGGTGAGAGAACGGAGCGCGCAGGTGTTCGGCTCGGCCGAAGAGGGTTAGTTAACTTAGCCCGAGTTCGCAACCGCGCTAGTAGTAGTGGTGCTGGTGCTGCTGCTGCTCCTGCTGGTGGTAGTATCCGTAGTAGTAGTAGTAGTAGTAGTAGTAGTAGTGTAGAGAGTGGTTACGCTGCTAGTGGTGGTGGCACGAGGCAGTGGTGGTGGTGGTGGTGGAGGTGGTGGTGGAGGTGGTGGTGGTGGAGATGGAGGTGGAGGTGGAGGTGGTGGTCGTGATGCTGCTGCTGCTGCTGTGACGATGACACAGCGTCATAACACGACGCTCGTCCGTCCGTGCGCGATTTAACCCGAATCGTTACGCCAGCGGCGTAAAGTGTTTTTTGTACGGCGAGCGCGTTCGCGCCATATTACCGATCGAGCCGACTCCAGACGAGTCGAGCCGAGCCATCCGCCGAGCAGTTGAGTGCGATTAACCGCGTAGTACGTAGTCAGTGTCGAGGGAGATGGCTCGCCGCCCGGCTGTGTGAGATCCGCGGAATCGTGTTGCGTGACGTTGTCGTTTTCTTTTCCGTCTCTCTCTCTCTCTTTCTCCCCCTCTTTCTCTCTCTCTCTCTCTCTCTTTCTTTCTCTCTCCCCCTCTCTTCGGCGGTCTTTCGGCGATAGTGGTGCTACCCACACGATGACATAATTGAGTGCGCGTTGTCGTCGTCTGTTGGTGCATTCGTTGTCGAGTGTAACGCGACTCGGTCAGGACGAAGTGACCGTGAATGTAAAACGTGAGTTGGACCGTGGCATTGACACGACCTACTACTACTGCTGCCGCTGCTATTACTACTACTACTACTACTACTGCTACTACTACTACTACTACTACTACTGCTGCTATTACTCTTCTACTCTACTCGTTCTAGTGTTGACTTTTTACCACGACGCGAAATATTTTTTTCGGCAAGGCAGCGTGTGCAGTGCAGCGTTCTTCTCGTACTTCGCTCCGATTTGTCGTCGCGACGCGCACCGTGTGCAGCGGGAGCGCGTGTGTGCTGTCGGGAATCTTCGGCTCGTTGATTTCGCACCGCTTTTCGCGTCGCGGCGGTGTCGCGAACGGGTAACGGCGGCGGCGGCGGCGGACCGTCACCTTGAGCCGCTCCGCCGAGACCTTGCGCGCAACATTCTCGCGGTCTCTCCGGCGGCGACGACGACGACGACGACGACGACGACGCTCGACGGAGACGCAATTCGCCTCGATAAAAGAGCGAAGCCGGCCCGCGACCTTGCTCGACGCGTTTCGCCTGGCGGCCGATCGGAGGGCACTGGTCGTTCGTCGATTCGCCGACATGCTACGCAATTACGAATCGCCGCTCGGTGGAACGCAACGCTCGCTCGCGCGCCCAGCAGAGGAGGAGCCGTCCGCCGCGTCGCCGGCGAGGAGCGCTGAGTCGCGAAGACGATACTTGTGAGAGGAGAGAAGCGAGCGAAGGAGCCGGCCCCGGATGGCGGCATCTCGAATCGCGATCGCGTTCGCGTGTGTCAACGTACTCCGACCTGCGACATTTTAACGAGAGCGTGCGACGTTTCAGCTCGCTCCGCTCCGGAAGGCTCAGGAAAGACGAAGGAGCGACGAGAAGAGCGACGACGCGCGCGCGAGAGGCAAGGAGAAGGCTTGCCCGATCGTCGCCTCTCGGACTGTCGCGCCGAGCAGAGCGGAGGAGCAGCAGCACGCCGGTGTCGCGGCGCGTCTCGCGCCATGCCCGGCGCGGCGATCCCCGCCGCGTCAAGGAGGTTAGACGGCCATTGACCGGCGAGCGGCAGCGGCAGCGGCAGCGGCAGCGACAGCGGCAGCGTGTTGTAGTACGCGCGCCAAATACGCGCCGGCTCTGAAAGACGACAGTGACAACGACGTGCGTGCGTGCGTACGCGATTATCTTCTAACAATCTGTCGTTTGACCGTCGTCTCAGCCAACGAGGGCGCTCCCAGGGCCAGGATCATCTACGTCATCGCGACGTGTCAGCCGGCTGCTCCATCGACATACCCGCGGATATTTACGTGAGTGTGGTCGAGCGCGCGCGCAATCGGTGGGATTATGTCGCGCTACGAGAGTCGTAGCGGCGAGAAACGCAACAACGGGACGAGGAACACCGCCGGCGACATCGGCGAGCACGCGACTCGGGCACCGCGAACCTCATCGTCGAGCCGCCGCGCCCGCTCGACGACGGTGCCGAGCGCTTAAGAATCGTGCACCCGCTCGCGGAGGATGCGGCAGTACCATCACCCGCCGGTGTCCCCACGTAGGCGAGCTACGTGCCACGTCGTGCCAGTGATGTTGTCGTGGGTGTCGTCGGGGTCATCCGCAGCGCTGCTGGACCTGGACCATGGCCGGCAAGCCTGAGCAGCCGTCCACGCTCCCTGCTCCCCCGAATCACGGCCATCATCATCAGCATCATCACCCGCAGCAGCAGCAGCAGCAGCAACAAGTGCAACAGCAACAACAGCAACAACATCAGCAGGCTCTACAGCAGAACAGCGTTCTGGTGTACGTGTCGGGGGAGAACTTCGCGTACGCCACGGCGGTGGGTCAGAATGTCGCCGCGACCGCTGCTGCCGCTATCGCGGTCGGTTATCAGTCGCCGCAGCAGACGACGTACGCCGGCATCCTGCAGACGCCGCAGGTGGCGACGGCGGCGGCGACATTTCCCGCCAAAACCGCCGTATACTGTGCCTCCGACGGCACCGGCGTTGGCGGCGGCGGCGGCGGCAGCAACGGCGTTGGTAGTGGAGGAGGAGGAGGAGGAGGAGGAGGGATCGTAGGAAGCAACAACAGCGCGGCCGGTTGTTGCCGTTTGAAGCAGCAGCCGTCGCTCGAGTACACGACGGCGAGCGCAGTGACCGTCCCGGACCCCAGTGACTCCAGGCGAACGTCCTTGGCCGGCAACGACGACGACGAGGATTACGTGATGCTGTACCGACAGGCCAGCCTGGGGCAGTCGGCGACGACGTGCTGCGCGACCGCGGCCACGACGACGGCGATGATGACGCGCGTGGCGCCGTCGCGGGAGAGCAAGCTACCGACGGCAACGGCGGACAACGACTCGGTGACCGCGACGACGGCGGATACTCTCGGTACCGCCAACGACGTCTTGTCCGCGAAGACGTACCAGCAGACGCGACTTCACCACGGCGACGCGTACCCGTCCGCGAGAATGAGCGCCGCCGACTACAACGCGAGCGCGGTCGGTAGAATCGTCGCGCGCGCGAACTCCGCCGACGGCGGAGGCGGCTGCGTCGGCCTCCTCGGCGACGACGGTTGCGTCGCGTACGCGCCGCAGACCACGGGCAACGGTGTTGTACTTCAGAGCGCCGGCGAGCAACAGGCGACGGGGATCGTGTTGGACGACAAGGGTCGGCAGGACACTTTCGATGGCCAGACCGCCTCCTCGCTCACGGCAACGGCGGCGGCCGCTGTCGGCGATGGTGCCGTCGCGACCGTCTGCGACTCGGTCAGGCCCGACACCGCCGGCGAGTCGTCGTCGTCGTCGTCGTCGTCGTCGTCGTCGTCGTCGTCGTCGTCGTCGTCGTCGTCGTCGTCGTCGTCGTCGTCATCGTCGTCGACGACAACCACGACGACGGCGTACAGTAGCCTGAGCAGCCCCGAGAGCCAGAGTCATCTTCATCATCAGCCGGGACAAGACGGTCTAACGGCGAACAATCATCATGCCGGCGGTGCGGCGTGTGCGCAGCAGGCTGTGCGACAGCAGCCGTCGTGTGTTAACGGTAATAACAATAACGGTGGTAACAGTGCGCAACATAACGTGGTGTTGACAATGAACGGCGGTAGTGCGGTGGTTGCGCAACAACAACAGCAGCAGCAGCAGCAGTCGCAGCAACAGCAGCAACAGCAGTCGGTGATCAGCGTGCCACGTGGGTGGAAAAGGATATGCACCAATGGGGTCATCATTTATATCAGGTTAGTCCTCAACGAATGTGCCGTTGTTGAACTCGCGCTCTCGGTGGTTACCAAGTCCCCTCGCGCTCGGTTTCGAGATATTACACGCGTTATCAACGTACGTGACACGACCATTGGCACCATATGACACATGTGTTGAGACTGCTTAAATGGAATCGCCGAATTAATATACACTCGAATTCGATCATTAATCCAGTCTGAATTTAGACTCGGGAGAGAGAACGCTGCGCTTCTTTCCGCAGCGCTTTCGTGAATTCTTGACGAATGATCTTTCGCGACGATGCTCCTTCGCGTGTTCTTTCAACTTTTTCGGCTACTACCTCGTCACATTTTTTAATTGGGCGACACACACGCGTAGGTTGGTAACCACTGTTTGCTCCGATGCTTCTTGCGTAACACACACAAGCGCTCGAAACGTTGCGCGTCGATTTCTCGGAACGAGAAATTCCTCGACGCGCCGCCGCCGCCGCCGCCGCCGCCGCGTCTCTATTTTCTTCCGTCTCACGAAAATGCTCTCTCGAACCTGCGAGTTAATTCTCGAGCGGACCGCATTAGCGGCGCTTTTAATTCGTCGGCTTAACGGAGTGACTCGCGCCGCGTCGGCTCGAAGCATCGACCCGAAATTAAAGCGCGCGTGGCGCGCTGCCTTAATTTCGCTAATGGAATTAAGTCCGGCTTGAACGGAGCGGTGAGTCGCGCGCTGCGTTGTATTCTATCGCGGGAACGCGCCATCGCGACCGCTTTAAATTGACGCTTCGCAAAAATTAGTCGAGCCGTGATACTGGCCGGGGAAAGAAACGAGTCGGACACGCCGCGGCCTCGAATTGGCGTGGCACGCAACGGCGCGCTTTAAAAGCCAATTTACTCGAGGCTACCTCATCCGACGGTTTACCTCATTTTCGTCTATCGCCGTTCAATTTCGGGCAGCTTCGATTCCTCGATGTCGCAATGTTCGCAATATGCGAATATGCGATCCCCCGCGCGTCTGTCCGCGCCACGATGGAGATGTGACGATTTGAGGTAAGCTGCATTTCCTGCGGCTATAGCACACACGGGCGACGTGAACTCTCCGAACCGAGATTGCATCGCCGCTCTCCTCGCCGATCGAAAGTTCTCGATGTACAAGCGCGCGCTCGCGCGCTGTTATCGATTAAAACGCGAGACGCGCGCCTCGAGCGGAAGCGACGCGTTATTTGTTTCACGCTTATACGCGCCTCGAAATAGCGCACTGCGCTCGGAGGGAGAGGGGGAGAGAGGCAGAGAGAGAGAGAGAGAGAGAGAGAGAGAGAGAGTGAGCGTTGCCGCCGTCGTCCAAGTTTAGATCGTCAGCTGTTCGTAGAGGTCTTAAAAGGGTTGCAGGGTGCACGAGAAGCTCTTTCGACTCTTTGTAATCCATCCGCTCATGTAAAAAAACACGACTTTTCCGAGAGCCAAAAGTCACGGCTTTACACCCCCTCTTCCCCCTCTTCGACGCTGACCGTCAGCCCCGTTTCCATGTCGCGTGGAAAACGAAGGCGCCTTCTCTAGGTAACCTCTCATTGTGCTTTTATGGCTCCTTTGAAAAATCTGTTCGCGAGGTCACTTTCATCTTTTCCTCGCTCCCTCGTCTCCCTCTCTCTCTCTCTCTCTCTCTCTCTCTCGCTCGCACTCTGCGTCCTTTTTCACGACTGCTCTCATTGAGACGCGCTACGTGTTTGGCAGGAGCTTCTGCGCAACGCTCGGAAGGTAAAGGCACATTTACTCTAGATGCTTAGCCGGAGAAATATTATTCTTCGGCACGAAGCTGGGGTAAAATTAGAGGCAGACCGCAAGGTGTCGGTGTGATCTTCGACACACAGTTTGGAAAGTTACAAACACCTTTCTCTGTCTACTTAGGACTCTCTTTAGAGAGACCGGCAAAGAGAAATGTTTTTTCTTTCTCGTCATTTGTCGCCATTTGTCGAGTCACCAAACATTTGACACCTTGCGGGGTCTCTCTTGCTCCTTTACTTTGTCTCCTTGTTACTCGCTCTAGACAACAAAAGCGGTCAAAGTAGCCGAGTATCCAAAGTTCAAGGAAACAAAGTTGATCTTCGTTACTCTCGAAATATATTTATCCGTGCATCGTGATAACCCCCTCCCCACCCACCCACCCACCCCTCGATCGGTCGCGCGCTCAAGGATGTCGTCGCGTCTCACATTGAGATTGACCGGAGCGGTTTTCCTCGAAGGGACGGAGCGGCGAAAGAGCGCGTTTGGTAGGCGGACTTATCCTCGGCGATCGCGTAATATGATTTCGTAGGGATCGGCTGGGATCAGTTACAGGAGGAAGCGTCCTTCCCTTTTGTATGCGGCGGCGATAAAGGAACGCTTAATTCTCTCGGCGCTCTGCGAAGCGCAAAGGCCAACGCCTCATGGCGTAACCATCCACCGACGTAGGAGATCTGACCTGGTCCGTCCCGAAGCTCCTTAGAGCGATCCTTTCGGGACTGACCAGAAGTCACGCTTTAAAAGACGTTTAAAGGGCCCGAACAAACAATGCTTTGCCTTGTGCTAATCCGACTGGTTGTTCGGCCTTCTTCTTCGCTTCGTGGTTCCTCTTTGTACCGAATAGTCGGATAATCGCGCGGTCACTCTTCCGCTTCTCTCTTCGGTTCCTCTCTTCGGTCTCGTCCGAGTCCCCTCATGTTCGAGATGCTGCTCGAGTTCCTTTCGCGTCTCTCTTCCTCTCGTTCGCCAATTACTTCGCCTTCGTGCGACCAAAGGTTGGAACGCGGCGCGAGTCGACGCAGAGACGATCGACCGACCTGCGCGAAATACAAAAGAATGACTCATACGCGTGTAGCTGAAGCCGGTGAGAACTAATTTATGCGAAGTTCGATTTTACCTCGGAGTCAGCCACTCTTTCGTAACACGAACCAAAGTGAATCAAACGTGGCTTCTCATTGGACAAAATTGACCGTTAGGACACAACAGAGCAGCCGTGCGTTTGTTCGAAAAGTAGCCGGGGAATTATACACGAGGATAATTACGCAGCTGACACGGGACGCTGTGATAAAATCTTACGCACACCGTCTATCGCGGGTCGAAAGGGTCGTAGGGATCGAATCGATCCTTCCGCTGCTCTCCTTGCCCGGGGAGTCTTCCTCGCGAGAAGATTCCTCCCCGTCATCGATTCCGTCCAAGAGGACGGACGGGCGGTGTATCGCGGGGACGTCGTGGTTTCTTCACGTGTCGGTACGGGCGGCGGGAAAGGGGAAAGGGGAGCACATATATATATATATATACAGGAAGGGAAAAGGAATTTCGTTGAATCGCGCTGCTCGTGCGATCATTGATTTACGGTGGTACGTCGTAAATACCGTCGGTGATGTACGATCATGACCGCGCTCCCCCCCCCCCCTCACCGTCACCGCAAACCTGCCCTTTCGTCTTTCCCTAACCCAGTCGGCTTCTTCTTCTGCTTCTCCTCCTTCTTCCTTCATTCTTTACTATACCGACATTTTCTTTACGAACCTCTTCTTGATTTATAACACCCATCGGCCCCTTGTCTCTACGTACATACATGCTTCCTAGAATGCTCGGGTTTTTACCCCAATGCTGACCATCCCGGACGCCTCCGCGTCGTTTGTCCCATGACACGAACGAGAGGAAGGCCTGCGACGAATCTTTTTTCTCCTCTTTTATTTTTTTTTGGTCCATTTCTCGGTTGCATAGACGTCATCTGCTGCCTATTGTATCGATCTCTTAAAAATGTAGGCTGGCACTCCCGTGACAAAACAGCGACCGACATCCTTTTTGGACCCTTTGGTTCACCACGATCCCGATTATGGTGAAGGGGCACGTAAGAACACAAGGAACGTGAGACAGATTTAGCTCTCGAAGATTTACTCGGGTTACTCTTGGAATCGCGCTATTACTTCCGCCGAGGTTCTCTGAATATTTGTCGGATACTTGCTTCGTATACTCGTCGTTATCGAGTGACTTTGATGAGATCTCGATTACACGTGGATTGAGGATAGTCTCAAAAAAGAGTAAACGCGAGCGATAAACGTAGATACTAAAAAAATCATGATATTTTTATGATATATCTAGCGCATTAATTAGAACTTGTTGACGCGGTAAAATCGCGTGAATTTGTAAATCAATTTTTTGCATGATATGTTAATTTACCTCGTGCAATATACGTAATTTCTTTTTTATAAATACAATTATTTCCTCATTAATATAGATAATGTAGGTTTCTCTTTTCTTGCAATTTACTTACAATTAACTTTTTGTAATAAATTATGAAGTATAATCGTACGTTCTTTTTTCCTCTCTCTCTCTCTCTCTCTCTCTCTTTTCTCGGTACGTACATTCGTTAAATGATACCAACGCGTTGCGTAACGCCATTAATTGGCGAAGCACGTGCAAGCGGAAGGTTAAAGCTCGCGATCGAATTCGCCGTCGCCGGACGTTTCGAACGAATGGCAGTCGGACTATTACGGTCGACCAGTCCTCTCTTATACAGAATTCCCCCTCGGCAAATTCCTTTTTCGAAATTTCTACACGATTCTGGCGTAATTCCGTCGGCTTGCACAATGACAGCTGATCGACACGTGCGCCCCATAACGTTATCTTCCCATAATGTGATCACGATCCGCGTTCTACGATAGGACTCGATAGAAATTGAGATAAATCTCAAGCACGCAGACTCCATACGAGTTTGCACGAGCGTCTTCTTAAACTTGATGCATGATTGGAGTGAGATCTCAAACGTCGATGTTCGATAAATGGCGGTTTACACAAGAAGCGCGTCATCATCTATCCGTGTACAAAAAAGAAAAGAGGATGCACATTAACCAGCAAGTTTATCTATACGTGCAGCGATACATCGTCAGTTGAAGAGAAAAATACTAGATGGCGTTTTCGGGGAGAAATATTCAACTATCGAGATTGATTTCAAAATATTTACGCGGCTTTATACAGATTATAAACAAAAGATGGAAGACGAGGGGGGTGTAACTTGACGTATCATG